TCTATTATCTTTATTGGTTCCATATTGTTTTTCTCTTGTTAAATATTTATTCTACTCTGGTGCCTTTTTTCAAGGCTAAGCATATTCAATCTGTTTGGCACTAGACATTGCCCATTCTGCTGATGTCAGACGGAGACGTGCTTTTAGTTGCCGACCTCCGTCTGAACACTCAGTATCCCATGGGCATTTGCGGCATGCTATGATGCCGCTCCTACTGACGTCAGACGGAGGCGTGCCAAGTGACTGCCGACCTCCGTCTGAATAATAAAATCCAATAAGATACGTGCAGCTAACCACGTGATCACGGAGGTCCGCGATCACGTGACCTTACATCTCTTCCATCTTCCCTGCTACTACATCTCCCATCCTGCACTAGTGTCCAGCATGTGATCGCATTAGAATGCGATCACATGACTATTAATCTCATTTTTACAAAATACATACTCGTTTTATCATTATTTACTATGGATTATTTTATATATTGTTTTTTAACATGATCCATCATCTATTTTAAGCTTTGTATGATTTTGAATAATTCTGTATTTTAAATGTTGCACTGATGACGTCATTTTGGCGCCAAAATTTGAAAAAGCATGTTTTATCTTAGGTTATAAAAGTATCTATGTACCAGGCTGACTTTTACTATTGCCAGTTGATAAAGCCCTGTGTGGCGAAACGCGTTTTGGCTATTTTATAAATTTTATATTGTATTAATAAAGGAATAGTGGCTATTTATAACAATTTTGCCATATAACCTTTTTTTATTTCATTTTTAATAATTTTGTCATTACCTGGTCATATACTATTCTGGAGCCTACACAAGATCAAGAATCCTAGGTGGGGATTATACCACCTATGCCAGTGATGGCGAACCGTTTTGAGCCCGAGTGCCCAAACCGCAATACATGCCAACATTTTTCTCCTTAAAGTGCCAACACGGCAATTAAACCCAAATACTGAGGTTTAAGTTTAGAAAAAAACAACTCGTACTGTTGTCCGAACTAATAACTTTTGTTTTAAAAGAACACAGAGAGTTCAATGATACAAATTTTAAATAATGATATAAATAGATAAAATTAAGCTTATATTTATTAGTATCTCCAACAAATGCAATACATACACAGTCTGCTGAATACACACACACAAGACTGTTGAATACAGAGACTGATGAATACACACACACACACACAGACTGCTGAGTACACACACACACACAGATTGCTGAGTACACACACACACAGATTGCTGAGTACACACACACACAGATTGCTGAGTACACACACACACAGATGCTGAGTACACACACACAGACTGCTGAATACACACACAGACTGCTGAATACACACACACACACAGACTGCTGAATACACACACACACAGACTGCTGAGTACACACACACAGTCCGCTGAATACACGCACACACACACAGACTGCTGAATACACGCACACACACACAGACTGCTGAATACACGCACACACACACAGACTGCTGAATACACACATACTGCATTGAGGTGGGGGGTGCGTGTGTGTGTGAGTGTTGTATGTGAGGGGTGCTGTGTGTGTGTGTGTGGGGTGCTGTGTGTGTGTGCTATATGTGTAAGGGTGCTGCGGGGGGTAGGGGTACTGCTGGGAGGGTAGGGGTACTGTGTGTGGGGGATAGGGGTACTGTGTGAGGGGGGTAGGGGTACTGCCTGGGGAGGGTAGGGTACTGTGTGTGTGGGGGTAGGGGTACTGCCTTGTGAGGGGTAGGGGTACTGCTGGGAGGGTAGGGGAATCACTGCTGGGGGTTAGGGGTTACTGCTGGGGAGGGATAGGGGTACTGCTGGGGATAGGGGTACTGCTGGGGATAGGGGTACTGCTGGGGATAGGGGTACTGCTGGGGAGGGCAGGGGTTACTGCTGGGGGGTAGGGGTTACTGCTGGGGGGTAGGGGTTCTGCTGGGGTTAGGGGTTACTGCTGGGGGAGGTAGGGGTTACTGCTGGGGGGGTAGGGGTACTGTGTATGGGGTAGGGGTACTGCTGGGGGGTTAAGGGGTACTGCTGGGGAGGGTAGGGGTACTGCTGGGGGGGTAGGGGTTACTGCTGGGGAGGGTAGGGGTACTGCTGGGGGGGTAGGGGTACTGCTGGGGGTGTAAGGGTTACTGCTGGGGGGTAGGGGGGTACTGGGGGTTGGGGTTGCTGGGAGGTAGGGGTTACTGCTGGGGGGGTGGGGGGTTACTGCTGGGGGTAGGGGTACTGTCATGGGGGTGGGGGGTGCTGGGGTTAGGGGGTTACTGCTGGGGTTGGGTTGTTACTGCTGGGGGTTAGGGGCTGCACTGGGGAGGGGTAGGGGTTACTGCTGGGGGTAGGGGTACTGCTGGGAGGGTAGGGGTTACTGTGTATGGGGGTAGGGGACTGCTGGGGGGTTAGGGGTACTGTGTATGGGGGGTAGGGGTACTGCTGGGGAGGGGAGGGGTTACTGCTGGGGAGGGTTAAGGGTACTGCTGGAGGGTTAGGGGTACTGCTGGGGGGTTAGGGGTACTGCTGGGCAGGGTAGGGGTTACTGCTGGGGGGTTAGGGGTTACTGCTGGGGAGGGTAGGGGTACTTCTGGGGGGGTAAGGGTACTTCTGGGGGTGTAAGGGTGCTGTGTCAGTATACCCCCCCCCCTCCTTCTTACCTTTAATGAAGTAGGGGGAGGGGGGGGGGACACAGCGATCCCTGGTGGTCCGGTGGTGGTAAGAACTGCAGGGGGAGGGCTCCAGGAAGCAGCTCCCCTGTCCTCCCGCGCAATGCTGTGTGGAGCGTTGCCATGGTAACGTGCGGCAACGCTCCACACAGCATCGCGCGGGAGGACAGGGGAGCTGCTTCCTGGAGCCCTCCCCCTGCCTCCCGACCCGGAAGCAGAGTAGGCGCCTGCCGTTTCGGGCAGGCAGGCAGGCGCCTACTCTGCAGTGATGGCGAACCTGTGGCCGCGTGCCCACAGAAAGGGCCCGGCGTGCCACCTGTGGCACGCGTGCCATAGGTTCGCCATCACTGACCTATGCGGTTATATTGAGCAGTGTACCCTGCTCATCCAAATGTGAGTATTTTTTATTCCTTTCTTTTGATTTAATTTACTCATATCCAGTGAGCACTATATTTTGCTTTTATCTCCTTTGCAAAACCGAGGGATCATCTTCACCTATACCCTACCAGTGGGGGACAAACGCCACTGAATGCCAAATACACTAGAGCAAGTCTATGCTCTAATATAGGTGAGTGTATTACCTATTTATTATTTCTTCCATCAACAAACAGTCTGCACTATTGGATCGTCTTTGTTGTCTTTCTTTTTTCTATGTCTACCATCGAGCCAAGACTCCTCTAAAGATTAGAAGATCTACTTTCCCTATTGGACATACTACTACCATACACTTACTGGAACTTGTAAGAGAAATATACTAAATACTACAACCACCACTTTATCCATTTAAACTTACAATACCTACAATTTGGACTATTATTTTTTATATATTTCTCTTTTTCATATATTTATGTGTTAAACTGTTTTTATATATTTATTTCCGTCTATTTGTGTGTTTTTTTTTTTGTAGCGCAACCTATCATTCTTGTTTTTGCCATTTCTCCCTTGAGGACTCTAGAGGGAACCTCATATTTATAGGTTGCTGCTTCTTGTCTGTTCATACCACTCAGCGCTGATCCGTTTTCTACCTGTAACTGTTCATGGCATTACTACCCCCTAAAACAGCAAAGAACATTCAACTGGATGGAATGTTTCGTCTACCCAAGCCTCAGTCCAACACAGCCCCAACCACCGGCGACCTCCTGGTTAAGTTTCAAAACGGGCAAGACAAAGCAGCCATCTTACAAGCTACCAGAGGGAAGACCCCATATCACTTTGAAGAAATGGACTTCACGTTCTTTGCTGACCTCTCCCGCTCGACGTTGCAGTGGAGGAGGTCGCTGAGACCACTGGCATCCACGCTTACATCCCAAGGCATAAAGTATCACTGGGGCACACCTCGTGCGCTGACTTTCCAACATAATGGTGTGGAACACAGAGTCACGGAGGCATCTGAAATGGACGCTATCCTGTCCTCCCTGAAACCGAGCCCTGACCCTCGACCCACGAACCCCACCTGGAACCCCGCTACCGTGGTTCCGTTCACTCCAGCATCTCGAGGACCAAAGGGCGCACCTGTCACCTGAACACGGAACCATCTGTGTTGGGACCTGTACCCTCTCTTTTTCTAATAAGTTACCGGCATTTTATTTTTATTTTTATGTCTTAGTTATGGTTAAAACGTTGTGCTTTACTTAGGAACCACTCCCCTCCCCATACCGCATACGGCGGAACGACCGTACTGGTCGACAATGGGCGAAAGGAGACCCACCTATCCCCCCTAATTACGTCCATCCTACCCTCCCCCCCCCAGCTCCAGCTCTTCTTGACCCACACATAAACAGTTGGCGGAGCTGCCTCACTAAAAAGCTTGAGACACCATACCAAGTTACTTGATCCTTAAGGATCCGCTATTTTAAGCTACCCTACACCACAGTGGTCCTACTTACGTGCCCTCACCCTGTACTATTTCTCGGGCCTACTACTTAGTCCAAACAGGGCTCCACATCCCGGTAGGAAGCGGGATCACTAAAAATTAAAATGATCTCTCACTTGTTTGCCCAACGTGTACCTCCCAATATATCACTGCCATTGATCGATCCGCTTCTTGCATAGCATGTAACTTGACCTCTATTGTATATTTTTTATTTTTTATTTTTCATTTCTACAATTGAAATTGCGTAGTTTAACTACCAAACCATTATTATAAATACCGTGCTGTTTACTCAAGTAGAAACGTAATGCTATTGCTCACTACGACTGTTGTCATGTTTCACTATTTCATTGTGTTTTTGACGTATGCCGGCAATTGCTGTTGTGGCATTGCGGGCTACCTTGTATTCTTTTGCACGACCAAAAATAAAGAATTTAAAAAAAAAAAGAAAGTGGTAACAATGTTGAATGGTACAGAGTATTTTGTCAGATCTATAGTTGAGTTAAAGGTGAGTATTTGGATTACAGAGATTTGGGCAGTAGGGTGTGTGTTCTGTAATTGTGCAAGGATTGTAAAGCTATGCAGTTTGACAATGAGAAGTCTTTCTGTTAAAATAAATATCCTGCCTCCAAGCTCTGTTTTAAGGAATGTATGTTGCTTGTAAAATGTCAGTTCGTAAAGTCACTGCAAAGAAAAAGGCTGGCTGGGATTTCTTCAGCTAAGTTTATGGCTTACGTGCATGTTTCATCAGTTAACTTAAAGGGACACTCCAGGCACCCAGACCAATTCTGCCCATTGGAGTGGTCTGGGTGCCAACTTCCACTACCCTTAACCCTTCAAGTGTAATTATTGCAGTTTTCATAAACTGCAATATTTACCTTGCAGGGTTAACTCCTCCTCTAGTGGCTGTCTACTAGACAGCCACTAGAGGGCATTTCCGTGTGTATAGCACACATTACATGCGTAATGGGTCTCCTCCGCGGGGGAGGAGCGTGGGCGGACCCTGAACCAGCGCCGAGGGACATCGGAGCTGGATACAGGTAATTCACTGAAGAGGTTTTAACCCCCTCAGCAACCTGGGATGGGAGGGAGAGGGGACCTGCAGTGCCAGGAAAACAGTTTGTTTTCCTCGCACTGGAGAGTCCCTTTAAAGTGAACCTGTAATCCAGTTTAGAACTTTAGCCAAATACATTTAATTTAATGGTTTGATATGTACCTGAGATTAGGTGCAAAGGGATCCAGGAGTCAGTCCACTTAAAAAGGCTTCTCTATGTCCGGATATTTATGGAAATTGTACAATATTTATATATATATGGGGTGTATGACTTTAAATCTGCTAAAGGCAAAAATACTCTACTTATAATTCTAAGACATAAATTACAAGTAAAGGCTGTAGAGGAAATATAGGAGAACAGTATAAGGAACTGCTTCCTATTCAGTATGCATATCTTTAAATCTGTGACCTTAACAATATGTACTAAAATCACACACTGTGACAGGAAATAAAAATTAAATGATAAAAACTTGATACAATGAATATGCAATGATACTATAGTGTAGCTCACTGTATCATATAAAATGTAAAAATCAATGAATAATGAAATAAAAATATGAATATGAATTAATACAAGATTTATTGAATAATATAAAAATATATTAAAAATATACTCAAATGATAACAATAATTTAAAAAATAAGAGTCAGGAACGTTTGGCAAGAATGTTACCAGCACTTTCGCAGTCCTTATTTCAGCTGAACCGCAGGGACCATCTAGGATGGATGTGGATACAGTTTCACTGTAATCTCTGGCTGTCGGCTGTGAGGTAGGCGTGCGTCCCAGACCTCACTCTGAGTGATGCACGCTAGCCGGTCGGTCGGTCCCCAGAGCTGTTGGTATCACGCTCACAGTGAGAGATGATTGTTAGTTGCTGGCTTCAGAAATTCTGCGTCCGTATCCTGCTCGGTCTCGGTTCCTTATACTGTTCGCCTATATTTCCTCTACAGCCTTTACTTGCAATTTATGTCTTAGAATTATAAGTAGAGTATTTTTGGTGTGTAGCAATTCAATTCTGCCTTTAGCAGATTTAAAGTCATACACCCCATATATATATAAATATTGTACAATTTCCATAAATATCCGGACATAGAGAAGCCTTTTTAAGTGGACTGACTCCTGGATCCCTTTGCACCTAATCTCAGGTACATATCAAACCAATCTTAGTTTAAGGCAGAATATTTGGTGGAATTTCTGCCCACATCCAGTTTTGAGACTTTTCATTACAAGTCAGACTCCCTCACTTCTGGGTGTTGCAATAGGCATACTAGAACCTTTAAACTTCACATTTAATTTAATGATTTTTTTTCTTTCTTTCTCTACTGAAGGTTCATCTGGTTTTCAAGGATACTCGCCTCTTCTCCAAATGCTCCAGGGGGTATTCATTAGCCTGCTTTGATAGGCAGTAAAACATCCCCTCAACACTGTCTGCCTCTTTGCTGAGAATTAGCAATTTTGTAGGCGGACTAACCCGCAGACAGATTTCGGCAGTGACTAAAAGCCGATAAGTCTACCATTGAGGCCGGGAGATAAAATATTGGAAAATCTATACATTTGCTTGCAAAATCGCTAGCACAATGTGCAGATAAAAATGCCTGGAGAATCTATTAGCCCATGCTCTCAGACTATAATCACTGACCATATAGGACAGGCAACACAATCAATGCACTATCACCCCCCCAACTAAGGCTGATTTCCAGTTTGACAACATTTTGAAAATGATTAATATATGTCCTACAGATGTTGGTCAGCACAATTTGTAGAAGAAAACAATGTATTAAAGTGACTCCATGATATATGTTTATATACATCTCCCATTCAAAATCTCCAGAGGTCTTATTCCATCACATTCCAGAAACCCCCATTGACCCCCCACAAAAATTCCATCCCATTCCAGAAACCCCCCCAATTAAAGAAGAATCTGTCATGCACAGTGGGCGTGATTCTGTCCCAGCATTGACAGGGTTAAATTACCTAAATTACCCATGGTTTTTGTTGGCATCCAGGGTTAACCCCTTCAGGACCGTCAGCGGTAAAACGTGCGTTTGGACAGCTGACGGTCCTGAACCGTCATAGCGAATAACGGGCTGCGGAAAGCGATCAAAATTTTTGGATGTTTATACCCCCCAACAAAATGTATCCATAGATGAATCGCTAATGAAATACAAAGGGAGATTAGGGTTCAGACAATATATCCCCTCAAAGCGCTCTCGGTATTGGATAAAATTGTACAAACTGTGCGAGAGCTGGCTGTCCTGACTCCCTGGGGACAAGTGGGAAACTTGTATGGGACCTACTAAACCCATTGTTTAATAAAAGTTACCACCTTTATGTGGATAATTTTTATAGTAGTGTCCATCTGTTTAAAACACTTTATGGTTTACAGACACTGGCCTGTGGCACTGCCAGAAAAAATTCCAAAGACTTTCCACGATTTTTCATAGAGGAAAAATTTTTAAAAATGCGAATGTAAAGCACTTTGCAAAGCTGAAGTGCTTGCACTAAAATTTAGGGACAGGAAGGATGTCAACATGCTAACCACCATCCATGACGAACGCATGTCAGACGTCTCTATCCGGGGCAGAGTAGAGTCCAAACCGGTTTGCATCAGGGCGTATAATAAGTACATGGGGGGTGTTGATTTGGCTGATCAGCTGATGCAGCCATATCTTATTTTACGAAAAACCGAAGCATGGTATAAAAAGGTGGCTATCTATCAGATGCAAATAGCAACCCACAACTCATTTTTGCTTTTTAAAAAAAATAATCCGGGGAAAACCACCTTTCTCCAATTTCAGTTGAAAATAATTTCTTTAACAATTTATGGAGACGGTCAAGTTTCAACAACGGTGCAAGCTGAGTCCAGTCATTTTATTTTTAAGTTACCGCCAACTGCTAGAAACCCCTCCCCCCCCACCAGAAATGTTGCCGGGTCTGTTTTAAAAACGTGAAAAGGACAGACACCCCATTTCACTGTCCTGATTGCCCTTCGAAACCAGGACTGTGTGTAGGAACATGTTTCAAGCTGTACCACACAGAACACTTGTAAGAAGTGTTCCTGAATTTTTATTTTATTTTTTGTTTCTTTGGAAAGCAGCCATTTTTTGTTAGTTTCTATTTGCAGGAGTCAGTTTAAAGATTGCTGCTAAATGTACATTTGCTACCTGCACATTTGGTCTAACAAGTTTTCTGGCAGTAACACACAGGGCCGGTGCAAGGATTTTTGTCGCCCTAGGCAAAAGTAAAGTTTGCCACCCCCATCCCCCCCACCATGTGACATCACAATGCTCCACCCATATGATCTGCCATGTTAACTAACACCAGTGCTGCAGTGCCGCCGTGTTTACATTATAAGGCATGCAGGGACTGGCTATAGACACCAGAACAACTACATTAAGCTGCAGTGGTTCTGGGGACTATAGTGTTTCTTTAATGTGAGGTAAATTAGAGATTAGTGCCACAAATAATATACTAGATTGCCTACTTACAACGAGATGAGGATGATGATGGGCTCTAGCCGCAGTCTGGCTCCACTGGTCTGGTGTAGAACAGGCTCTCTGGAGGCTGTTTGTAACTGTGGTCACAAAAATCAATGTTCTGGGAGAACGGGAAGCAGCTCCATTTTTGGGGGCCCTTTACACAGCTCAAGGTCTGGGTCCCAGGGTCCACCTTCATGTTCCACCAATCAGTTTGTTCACAGGGGGTGGAGTGTGTAGGGGATGCATTGTGTGAATCTGTGTTTGTATGTGTAAGGGCTGCAAGGTGTGTTTCTGTGTATGTACAGGATGCAGTGTGTGCGTGTGTAAGGGGTGCATTGAGTGTGTGTAAGGAATGCATTGTGTGTTTCTGTGTGTGTAAGGGATGCATTGTGTGTAAGGGTTGCATTGTTTGTGTGTGTGTGTCTGTGTGTGTAATGCATTGTGTGTTTTTCTGTGTGCAAGGGGTGCATTGCATGTGTGTGTGATGGATGTCAATCTCTCCCTCCTCCCTTGTCACTCTCTTCTCCCCCCTCTCCCTCCCTTGTCACTCTCTTCTCCCCTCCCCCTTCCCACTCTCATTGCCCCTCCCTCCCGTCACTCTCACCCCACGTCAATTTCTACCAATTTCTTCTTCTCCCACCCTCCCCATTTCTTCTCCCCCCCCTCCCCTACCAATTTCTTCTTCTCCCACCCCTCCCCTCCCAATTTCTTCTTCTCCCACCCTCCCCATTTCTTTCACCTCCTCCCCATTTCTCCCCTCCCCTCCCAATTTCTTCTCCCCCCCACCCCCTCCCAATTTATTCCTCCTCCCCCCTTACCTTTGTTGTAGCGTGGCCGAGCCCTGCATCATAATGGTCCGCGGGTACAGGGAGCTTTTGTTTCCTGTACCCGGCCGGACTAACAGGAAGTGCACACTCTGTGGATACCCTGGGTTATCTAGTTTAAGAAAAATATATACATCTGGGGTGTTTTTTGGAGATGTATGACATAACAGTGTTACAATGTCACTATTGATACATTTGAAAAATGTACATTTTGAAACAGCAATTTCCTGCTTGTACTTATAGCCCTATAACTTGCAAATAAAAGCAAAACAAAGACACAAACACTGGGTGTTTTTAAACTCAGGACAACATTTTGAATCTATTTAGCAGTTTGTTTCACTAGATTTTGTGGATCAGTAAAAGATTTTTTTAAGTAAAAGTAAAAAAAAAAAACGTGTTTATTAAATTATATGACATGATAAAAATAGTATGTAAAGAAAGCCCTTTTTGTCCTGAAAAAAACAATAAATAATTTGTATGGGAACAGTAAATGAGAGAGCGGAAAATTACAGCTAAACACAAACACCACAAAAGTGTTAAAACAGCCCTGGTCCTTAACGTATAACATCGCAAAAACAGTCTGGTTCTGAAGGGGTTAAACTTAATTTTGTGTGTGTGAAGCATTTTTGCCTGTACTAGCAGAAATTGGGCATAGTAGACCAGTTAATAGTTGATTCGAAATGCAAAAATAATTGTTGAAACGGCAGCGATAGGTGGGGAAGCTCTATTCCCAAGTGCAATTAAATGTTAATAGTAGTCAGAAAATACACAACAAAAAAAGCATTCTCCACGTAGACCAAGATAACTTAGTGAGCACTTAGAGAGTGCAATAACTATTTTTACATGTCAACCCCTCCTCCCCATTCCCCATCTTTAAACATCAAGCATAAAACCTCTGTTCCAGCACCAAGGCCAAGTTCTCCCCTCCACTGAAGGGAGTGCTGTGCCATTATTGGATGTCTGTTGTGAGCATGTACACAGAATTGATATTAGCCAGCCTTGATCTTGTTTTTGCCAATATAATGCCACCCTAATGATGCAGAGTTACACTTCCAGTAGCAAAGGTTTTTATGTTCATATATGCAGTGAAACGCTGCACAGATTCCAGGCACTATGACCACTTCAGATTACTGAAGTTATCATGGTGCTTGGAGAAACCCTTTAACGGTTTCAGTACGTATCTGAAATATTTGAGGGAAAATGTCCACTGCCAGTCCTTAATATGGGGCAACACCTCACGCCTCTGTCAATCCAATACACTGTAGGATTCAATTCAAAATACTAACCCTTACCTACAAAAGGTCTGAACAACTCTACCACCCAATACATTAGGTCACTAATTCATAGCTATGCCACTTCTGTTTCTCCGCTAAGCTGGTGACCTTCTACTAACTGCTTCTCTTACTGCTAACTCACCCTTGTAAGACATCTCGCAGGTGGCTCATCTCCTCTAGCACAGCCTGCGTACCCTTACCAGGCTATCCCCTTCTCTTCAATCATTTAAGAAGTTCCTTAAAACCCATCTCTTCAGAATACAGGCTATATTTCACACAAAACACTCTCTCTTAAAGTACCACACTCCACTCCCTTCTTATAATTCTGCTACCCTTTCTATTGTTTTTGTACCTCACCTCTTTTAGATGATTATTGGTATTTATATAGCGCCAATTTATATCGCAGTGCTTTACATTATAAGCGCTTTCTAGCAGGGTCGTCTACAACCTATTGTTCCGGTTACATTTTGTAATTTTATCTTTGTTAAATTTCCACCATGTTTTTGTAGAGTGCTGCGGAATATGTTGGCGTTAAGAGTATAAATAACGTGTCTCCGAGTGCCATCCTCCCAGTTTCAGGTAAAACCATTTGGTTCTCCCCCAAAACAGATACCCAGGCCCCTCATTGACCGTAGTTGCACTCCTCAAGCTGTGCCTTTATGTTGATTAACCCCTTAAGGACACATGACTGAAATATTCCATCATGATTCCCTTTTATTCCAGAATTTGTGTCCTTTTACTTACATATTTGATACCTTACAAACTAAGGAGATGATGTTGCAATTAGCTGGGCTTGAGTCAACCTTTCATGCCTTTTTTTTTTTTTTACCATAATGAAAGGCAGCACTATATTTATGTGCTGCACTCTAGTGGTGTACGTTTGGAATCAATTGATATAAATCAGATTAATTTTTTTTTCCCCCTGTATAGATGACATTTTTCTCCGGTTTCATTTAAAGTAATGTATGCACCTTCGCAGATATATCAAGTGTTTTGGTGGATTTGTTTTAATCCTTGCCACAGTTCCATGGTTTACATGATATCCAGTTTTGGTCAGGTGGCTAACTGGTAAGTTATTGCAAATTATTTACGCTCACACAGATGTAAGGAGTTTCATCTGGCGATAGGGTTGACCCCTTCTGCTACATGGTTTCTGGGAAAGTTTCAAGTGGGTGCACAGCTGGATGTAACCAGCCACATAGCTTTGTAAAGGACTGTTAAGGTTTATTATTCAGTAGGAAGTGTTCATACCAATTCGTAAAAAATGTCTAATTTAAAACAAATTCATTTTTGTGCCTTTTTGTTCTTGACATTTCATGGTCTTCCGATCTCTTGTTCTTTCAATTTTCCTTTCTATGCTTACTCCTGGAAACTGTTCTGTTCCTGCCTCTTCATTAATCTGTCTTTACTTCTTCCCAATGCTCTCTTCATCACTCTCCCTTTACTCCCCCATTGCTCTCACCCCTCTTCATCTCTCTCTCGTTTCTATTGTGTTCTCAATCTCTCTTCATGATTTCATATTTTTTCTGTTTCCCCTTCAGGGTTCTTCTAAATTCTATGCCTAAACCAAACCTTACAGGGAAACTATAATCAACACAACTTTAGCTCAATTAAGCAGTTTTGGTGTATAGATCATGCCCCTGCAGTCTCACTGCTCAATTCTCTGCCGTTTAGGAGTTTAATCACTTTTTTTTATGAACCCTTGTCACAACTCCCTGCATGTGACTTGCACAGCCTTCCTAAACACTTCCTGTAACAAGTCATCTACAGTTTATCCTTCCTTGATTGCAAGTTCTGTATAATGCTGATCCCATGCTATGTTAATAGCTAGCTAGACCCTGCAAGAGCCTCTTGTATGTGATTAAAGTTCTGGGGAGGTGTGACAAGGGCGGCATAAACAGAAATAGTGATCTAACTCCTAAATGGCAGAGAATTGAGCAGTGAAAACTGAGAAGCATGAGCTATACACCAAAACTGCTTCATTAAGTCAAAGTTGTTTAGGTGACTATAGTGTTCCTTTCAGATACTAGCTATTTTAATTCAGTTTGCCAGACCTAAATATTATGCCCAATACAGAGCCTAAATAAACTTTTCCTATATTATACGCCTAACTGTAAATATTAAAATTGAATATTTCCTTCCGAGGATTTTAAACAGCATGTCTACTTATGATTATATTTTACAAAATGTGTGTGATGTGTGAAAAATAAGCCAAAAAAAAAAAAAAAACCTTTTTATCATGCAACTAGGTAGCTCAATCTTGTCTCTCTGTCAATCATGGTTACAAAACAAGCTAAGATACTATAGTCACCAAAACAACTTTAACTTAATGAAGCAGTTTTGATGTATAGATCATGCCCCTGCAGCCTGAACACTACCTATAAAATTAAATCTAATCTTTAAAATTTACTTTATTGCACAGTCTTTCATTTAGAATGGATATCCTCCTGCTAGAGCAGTGATGGCGAACAGTTTTGAGCCAGAGTGCCAAAACCGCAATACAAACCAATTGGTAAGACAATTTCCCCATAGCTCCCACCCCCCCCGGTGACCTATGGCTGCATGCCCATTTCACACGTGCTATAGGTTCGCCATTGCTGTGCTAGAACTGCCTGAAAAGGAAACTTTTTTTGTCATGCAGGCTGTATGAGTCAGTCAGGTGAGGTGTGAGTAGGGTTGCATTGACAGAAACAAAAAAATTATTTAACACCTACGTAGCAGAGAATTGAGCAGAGATTGCACCAATAAAAACTGGTTCAGAAAAGGGCTACCTGAACCACGAGGAGTATGGATGTTCAGTGTTTTAACTTTAGGCATATATGCAGCAGAATGGACATTGACAAGACTTAATTTGTCTGTTCCAGGCTGCCCAATGTGCATTGAAGGCTGGCAATAGACATAATACAAGACTCTCCTTGCAGGGGATAAGTACCCTACCTGCAGCCCTGCCGATTCCATCCATTAATTTTCTTTGACTTCCAATACAGCCTATAGTATCCCTTTAACAAAAAGATTAGACACTAAATTAACCTAAGCCATAGATGATTTTTAAGATTTTACTCAACGATATAAGTTTCAGACAAGTGACAGTTCCCCTTCAGAATGAGGTTATGATACTGTGAGTAGGTCCCTGCTTACTCTAAAGGGTAAAACCATTAACAGTTTAACCACAAAGTTTTGAATCCAGGGCCCATCAGCTCTGCCCAGCAACTACTACCACTTTTGCAGTCAAAACCTTGAACCAGGAAGCGTCGGACTAGGCACAATACCATCATCTATACCAACCCTATTTAACTTCTTATTCTATTTATATAAAGTAACAGCAATTCATAAACAAGTGTGTACTTTATCTACCATTCTGCAAACTTGGCTTGTTTGCTTAAATTTGTTTGCAATTCTAAGTAAATGAGGTGTAATTACACAGAAGGCAAGTGTCTAGACTTTATATATAAAGCATTGCAGACTAGAAAAATGGAGAGTCAGCATATTTTGCAGCAATGTACAATTGCTAAACACCACACTAACAATATTTTGACTGGTGTAAAACTGATTTAAAAAAAAAACAAAAAACACAAATAACGTTGTTAGAAAAATCTATTATACATTTATTCATGCTATAAGTGCATTAACATGTCGATCCATGAAACAAGATATTAGGCACAGATATCTCAGCATCAGTGTCCAAAAGATGGCGGTGTTCTTACATGTAGCTGCGTTGGTTGCACAGCTAGAATATGGAACTGTATCTGTATGTGTATGTACAGGTTATATCAGGGCCACATCGCACCAAGTATTTTAAAATTTGATTTCATGGGTTTACAAAATACTTTTAATAAGGCATGTATATATAAAAATGCACAACACAGGGTCAGGACTAGAAAGCTATAGTGGAGCTTTAAATTGACACTTGGGACCCATTTCTAAACATATGTAATGTATAATTTCCTTCTAAATATATTTATAAACAAAGTATTCTTCAGCACACTTTATTCACAGTATGGATCTTACTGGCCACAAATGGCTAACAACAGACGTTTGTAGTCGCCGGTGGTATCACTTGAAACCATCGTGGCAAGTGTTTTTTGGTACATTTGTGTGAAGGCTTGTTTAATCTGCACAAGGTCAATCTGGGGAGAAAACAAAAAGGAAAATGAAGCATTAGTGGTGCACTAAAAGTTACCTATTGCCAATAGGTTATTTTAAAATAACACATTTAATATCTGTGGCATTTAACAGGACAATCAAGGATGCCATCTTTTTAACCCCTTAAGGACACATGACGTGTGAGACATGTCATGATTCCCTTTTATTCCAGAAGTTTGGTCCTTAAGGGGTTAATCACATTTCTGCCCTGTTAGAAATCTAACTGGAGATACAGTTACTGAATGCTGAATTGACACATGTTTAGGAACAGCAAGATTAGACAAATGGTAAGCCAGTGTTTGGCATGACCATGATGTAATCGTTTTTAAAGAGAGAGTAACATATATTTTTTTTATTTGGATGGAGTTCTCACTAAGCACTGAATACGGTCCCCAAAGTGAACATCACACCAAAAACTAATTTGTTGGGAGCTTAATGTAACACGTTTCCTCCATAATGTGAGCCAACATAACGCTGAAAGCCAGAGAGATATAAAAGTCTCCAACGACTTGACATTAGTGAAAGTGCACCCTCTCGAGTGAGGAATCAATTCATCGGGTACACCAATAAGGATGCTGGATTTAATAGGTGCCCGTCAAGTACCACCTGCAAATTTTGAGTAGAAGTAATAATAGTTTGTTGCTTTTACAGTTTCTGTTCGGAGGCCCCTAACTTCTAACGGAGGGACACCTTAACACAAATAGTCACAACAATTCTGTTCTTCCATCCATAAAGGGCAGTTTGGGAATGGCTTTTAATTAAAGAATGACAAGCCAATGCAAAGCAATGCCTATACAGAAATGGTTTCTCAATATCTATGTGAAGACCTTTGCTGACTGGCACTGACATCTCTATCCCAACCAAGGCCTTTTAGATTAACTTCAATAAGTTTCTGGAAGTAATGGATACATCACTGTTCAATATCTAGTGAATAGTCCAGAAAGAAAGGACTTTATACACAAGGTACAGCAAGAACCATAAATAAAAATACAATAAAAACAAAAAATACAAAAAAAATTATAAAAGGAGGACTGTGCTGTATGTTTTTGCTTTTTTCCCCCTTCTAAAAGCGCACACTTCCTTTTTCTAGGTCACTAAAGCTTCATATAAAAACTGGCAGCTTTTCATATAAATAAAATCTTTACAAATGCAGAAGTGGCCTCTTTGATAAAGCCTCAACCAGTAAAAATAAACACCAATGTGTCTGCAAGATTCCAGTGTACTATTTTTTACACATAAATGAAAGCTTCCACACTCTTAAAAAAATAAATCATACTTCAGGATTTGTTTGGTTTCTTTAATAAGGAGCAGACAATTTGGAAACACTGAATAAAGATTGTTGGAAGCTTTATTGGGAGGGGGTGGGAGGGAAAGAGGACCAAAGCTCTCTTACCTCACTGCGGGTTACAATAATTCTGATTAATGCAGAATCGTCTGTTCCCGCTCCCTTCATAGAACGGTAAAGTCTTTCAGCAAAGAAAGCTGGACGGTTGATGGCACACTGCACTGTAAGACAATAAAAAATTAAAAACATTTAGCGGACATTTATAATGCTTTATTTTTGCAGTGCCTAGGTTAGTTAACAGGCTACATGAAAAAATACTGAGGTTAAAAGCAAGATTGTTGGAAAATCTCAGAGATACAGCACTTTTTTTTTTTTTTTTTTTTTTTAAATAACAGGAACAAGAACAATGAGAAATATATACCATGCATAGGGGTGATAGTGAAAGAGGTTATGCAAAAGCCATTGATATTGCTTGAGTATAGGTCTAAGACAAACTAGAGTTCAGTAACAACGAAACATTTCACCCTGAGCACCCTGTTTTAGGCGAAGGTGTGAAAGCTAGGCTTACATTGCGGACGATGGCACAAGTGATATCGCTCAAAGAGCGAGAAACAACAGTAAAGTAACAAAATCGTAATCTAGGTCTTTCAGTGCATGAATAGTTACGTCTTTCGGGTGTGCCTGCTGTGTGAGTTTCCATTAGTAGTCAAGGCTTAGACGTTAGTCATTTGGTGTTGGACAATACAGTGATATAGGGATTTTCTCCCAAAATCTGTGTGACCCCGTAGGGTGTAATGCTCCAATGCCCTCTGTATGTTTGAGCACAGAGCAAACGTGAGTGTTCCTATGTCAGTGAGTGTCTTATGAGGTGAGTGGACTGAGAGCAACTTGTGAGGTGAAGGTCAGTTTTTGTAACTGGGGTCTATTCAGTATGGGCTCAGGTGAAGTAGTATCCCTAACCATGGGGGCTGCGGGGGTGGGCGGGGTAAGTAATGTTGAGGTTAGGCGGGTAGAGATAGGTGTGAAGCCATGCCACTGGTCCTTCATGGGACCAAATCCATCTGCGGAGCCATCTCCTGTATATGGTGTAATCTATGTTACAAGTGTGTAACAGAGCTTAACTGCACATACTCAAACATAAAATAGAACATAAAGAGACCGTAAACATCTGCAACAGGTAGGGGGTCTGCTGGCAAGTGTTCTTGCGTTTAGGTGCCCGTTCCAGAGTCCCGGCTCCTGTCTGGTATAAAAGGCACGACAGTATTAGGATCCCAAGCTGGGTTGAGAGACAGTCAAGTTATCCGGCGGTGGTGGGGCAAGACCTAGAGCGCTAAGGAAGGCTGGTGCCTCTTGAGAGGATTTGATCCTCAGTACAGTTCCATAATGTGTGACCAAGAGGAACCGCAGTGTTGCCCAGCGGTATGCGCCATTGTAGGGCGTTCCTGAAGACATGAGAATCGTGCTATAATGTCTCGTGTCGCTCTGGCTGGTGTTTGTGGAGACTTATTAATGCAGTATACTCCATCAAATAAGATCCTATTGGCTTGGGTTGGAGGAAGGAGAGTGGACACTAGGTAATGGGGTAATTCCTCTGCAGGGATCGTGTCAGGGACGCACCGAATCTTAATGTTGCAGCACCTGCTTTTGTCTTCTAAGAGTGCCATTTGGGCGGTTTTAGAGGTTTGGGATTGGTGGAGGTTTGAATGGATTCCTGTACAGAGGCTAGGCCTGTCTGCAGATCCATGAAGTCTTCTTCGGTGGCCTTGACCCTGTTGGTGACCGCTTAAATTTCTGTTTTGACCTGCTATGTCTAGAGCAAAAATAGTTTTTGTATAATTTTGATATAGGGCTTGAATGTCCTCTTTGGTTGCCAGGTTTGACACCTCAATGGTCCCTGCAGGTGCTAGGACGGCCCCTGGTGGTTGTGATGCCAGCTGTTGAAATCGGGCTTCTGGCCTTTGGGGGCTTGTGACAGACCTAATGAACAACCCCGGCGGCCATATTGGCTGACGCCTGTTGCTGCAGCACAGTGCCAATGTCTCTTTTGTTGGCAGGTGCTGGCACTGTGGGTTTCTGTGACCTGAATCCCATTTGTGTGGGGTCTTGTGGGCACCTTTGCGAGGTCTCAGGCTGAGTGGGGTTCCCCCTGGTCTCCGTGGGAGCTATATGGGATCCCAAGAAGTAGGGGGTGAGGTAGGCCCCTACCTTGTGGCGCGCCATTTTGTGCCCACGTTGAATAAAAATGGCATTGATCAGGAAGTTGAGATGTCCAGTAGCAGTTTGGCAGCTTTTCATCTGGTACGGATGCAGGATTCAGGTGATATTTGTCGGATTCTGTGCAGTGTTGCAGGAGCACAGCAGTATGGTGTCTGCTCCGCTCCGCCCCCGACATTTATTCATTTATGTAGTAATTTGATCATAATGTAGGATGTTTATTAAGAGTTTGGATAAAATGAAATCTACAAAATTGCAAGTGCAAGAAGAGAACCGACTTTCACTGATCCAGAACTTGTTTGTTATTGACTTTGTAAAGGTCACGTGTCAGTGTTTGTGTATTAACCTGCCGAATTTTGTGTTCTCTGTAGTGTGGGCAGGATACTACTTCATTGATTGATACTTCATTGATAATTTTGGCAAATTATGGGACCAAAGTGACAAATGAGATTTAATGTAAATAAGTGGAAAATTCTGCATTTGGGGTTGAAAATTAACAAGCAACACATACCCTAAACCAGGGGTTCCTAACCTAGTCCTCAAGTACACCCTACTGGTCCAGGATTTAGGAATTACCCTGCTGTGTCTAAAGTGTTTTTTTCTTTCTTTCTAAAAACACCTTAGACAACTGGGTAATCTCGAAATCCTGGACCGGTAGGGGGTACTTGAGGACTGGGTTGGGAACCACTCCCCTAAACCATTGGTTGTTAAACCAATGGCCCACCAACAATCCATGTTTTGTCAGTATCTCCATTTGAATTGAAAACGCAAATGCATAAATCCTGGACTCTTGATGGGCAGTGAGGACTGGTTTAGAACCACTGTAAACAATACGGAGTTAGAGAAAAGGAGGAGCACTGGGAAGTACTAATTCGCAAGATAATTTTGCCTTTTTTATAACACCAATAGCAAGTTCACGCCACCTTAAAATGCAGTGCGATTTTGGGCACAGATGTTCTGAAACTAGTAAGTGCCAAGCAGGATACAAAACATTAATAAGGGAAATATTATATTTTAGTTATAAGGAAAGGCTAGAAGACTTGAAGATTACACCTATTTGCTCTGCCCAAGTCATTTTATAAGATTCTTCGAGTCAAAATAGGAAAATTCTTTTAAATTATATTAGAGAAAGGCTGAACTTTATGGACAAGTCTTTCAGTCTATAGTACTATGTAAGTGGATCGGATAAATCAAATTCAGAGGGAATATATAAGGTTTGCATTAGTAAATTGTTAATTTATCAAGTGCTTTTACTGAACACAATTATGTTTTAGTTCCTGAAATGCAGATAACGAAAATACATCCTTGACTTATGCAAACCTTATGTTTACCCTCATGCATTTTAACTACAATGCATATTTGATCATATACAGGGATTCTCCGCTTCCAATACGCATACTGGTTTCCAACAACACTGATATTCTAGTAGAATGTAAAATGCCCATGTAGTCAATAGAAGATACTTACAAATTGCTTTTAGACCATCTTCTATATAACCAGAGAATTCTCTGCCAATGGTACTGAGCAAGTCTCGCTTGGAAATCTGGAAAACATTACAGAAGTTATGGAAATATAGAAAATAGACACCATTGATGCCAATAGTCTTTACATCACAATTAACCAAATCAGATCAAGTGACATTTTAGGGTCAGAAATACAAATGCCTTTCTTGTAATGTTATCACTAGAATGTGCCGGATGTTCTACTCCCACATCTAAAAGGGTTCGCTTTCATAATGAAAGTTTACACGTTCCAGCATTCTGGAATAACAAACACCATTCATCTGCATTTTGTTTGTTTTATTTTAAAATTACTTTGAATTGTGATTTGAGACAAATTTGCTTAATTAGTTTGAAATTAATGCATTACATGTTACATTATTGCTATGGGTGGTTTGGATAGTGCACCAATGTTTACATAAAATAAAAATGTTTAAATAAAAATATGTTAGAAAGACTATCACAATCTGGGCAGACGTCTGAAGTTTTATAGCTAAAAGATAGCCTACAGAACATAAGTATGAGAAGTTCTGAAGGGGAAGGATGGTTACAACTTATTAAAGAGATGCAGTAAAAACAAATAACATTTGACATATGATTTATTCCATATATCAAACACTCACCCTTGCATATGCCTCAGCTACGGCTTTCAGTTGGGGAAAGCTCCGGCTTGCCAACACCAAATTGAAGGAGGACTCATCTGTGCCAAGCTTTCCTTCTCCAGCCTGGTAGAGGCGCTGGGCATCTTGTTCAGCTTGCTGGAGGTTAACATTTTGACTCTCATCACGATTTCCCTGTGTTAAAGAAGAAAAAAAAAAAAAAAATTATAGATATAGATATAGATATATACACACACACACACACACACACACACACACACACACCGTATTTATCGGCGTATAACACGCACTTTTTCTCCCTGAAAATAGGGGGAAAATTATGGGTGCGTGTTATACACCGGCCCTTTAAATACTGCAGCCGCCTGAGCGCTCTGTGAAGAGCGCTCAGGCGGCTGCAGTTGGTTCACACCTCCCCTGTAACGTGGCCGAGCTGCTCTGCTGTCCGCGCGGAACAGGAGTTTCTGTTTCCTGTACCCGGTCGGACTGACAGGAAGGTGCACACTCAGCGTGCACCTTCCTATCACTCCGGCCGGGCACCGCAGACAGCAGAGCAGCTCGGCCACGCTACAGGGGAGGGGGGTAAGAAGGGGGTAAATAGAGGGGGAGGAGGGTAAGAAAGGGGGGTAAGAAGAGGGGGGAGAGGGGAGTAAGAAAGGGGGTAAGAAAAGGGGGTAAGTTTTTTTTTTCCTGAAATTTTTCTTAAAATGAGGTGCATGTTATACGCCGATATATATATATATATATATATATATTAAAATCTAAGATATATTCTTTCAAACTGTTGACATCAGGGACCAGTGATCTCTCTTTAAAAAAAAAAAAATATCAAGGTGCTTATTAAACATGAATTAATTTTTTTTTTTTAAATGGGTTAGAGACTGATTTGGAACTCTACATGTCTGCCTATAGCCAGCGACAAGAGAGGCTATTTCCCACTGATATTTCTGATACAAGATTAGTCTTTACACCCATCACACTCTCTGCTGGTTAATATTCACAATTGATGCTACGCTAGCTAAGGTTGGACAGATTAAAAAAAAAACCACACACACACAGATACTTAAAACATAACTGCAACGGGCGTGACCGGACGTCGAGCGAGATGGAAGCACACTAAACGTGCTCCGCTTTTACGGGCTCCATAACGCGGCTAAAACAGGCATTCTCGGTGTAATCTCCGACCCCAACATCAGGAGCGATGTCCCAACACAGCGCAAAGAAAACCGCAGAGGCAAAAGATAAATCAGCCTTCTTTGCGGCCAGAACGTCACAGCACAAACCCGCCGACCACCAGGCCCAAGATGGCGCCGACCCAGATTATGATGCAGACTGTGTATGCACAGCGGATAAGCAAGAGGATGTCCCTTTAACACAAAGTCTCCTGCAAATCATGCTGGATGCAGCGGTTGCCAAAATGCAAACCACCGTTACAGAGGCTATTAATGACATAAGACCTTCCTGACCTGGATGCACATGCCTCCCACCTCGAGGACAATATGGAAAACCTCACTACGGCACATAATGCGACAGAAGTACGCCTCAGCAAAATTGAAGAACAACTTTACATCCATGAGACTAAAATCACTGATACAGAAGACAGATCATGTCGCAACAATATATGCCTGAGAGGAGTACCAGAAGATGTAGGGGCACAAGATTTAACGTCCTATTCTGTGGAGCTGTTTCAGGCTATACTGCCTGATATCCCAGCAGACATGTTCCTCCTGGATCGCATCCAGGCTTCCCAGACCGCAGCATCTACCGTCCACTACTCTGAGGGATGTCCTTCTGAGACTTCATTACTACCACATCAAAGACCAAATCCTATGGGCACATAGAACCAAAAAGGACTTACCTGCCCAGTTCAAAGGCATTCTAATGTTTATGGACTTATCCGCAAAGACATTACGCCGAAGAAGATCCTTCAAGGGCATAGCGGACGCACTGAGACACCATAGTATCCCGTACCGCTGGGGCTACCCGGCCAAACTCCTTATCACAAAAAGGGGTAAGCTCATGACAGCAACCATACCAGCTGTGGTATTGGACCTCCTGTGGCAATGGGGTAAGTCTCGGAATCTGCAGCCAACCTTCCAGAACCCCAGCAAATCCCTGCCTGAAGAATGGCGCCCTCAGAAAACAAGACGTACATCCCCGAGAGAAGACTGAAGACGATCGGCAAGTTACAGCAAGTTTTAACCCAGTTCTATTTAATACACACCTGTTATAAAATGTGTTAAACTGATGTGAACACACAGATAATCCGTATACTAATAACCATATCTTTAGCCCCTGAGACTCACCCTCTTAAGGAGGGATGGGACAATATGTGAGACCCCTCACAGGGCCCCTATCACAAACCCTTAACTAACCACGTTGAGCATAGCCTACCGGGTAACGACCACTATGGCCGTGGCCTCTACCGCTAAACTAAAGACATTTTACTGCCCATAAAGGCGTTAGTTGATCCAACCACTAAATCTTAAATAAAGTAAGGTCGGAGAGAAACCAATCCCCAAGGGGGCCTCCAATTGACCCGACCAGTTCTCATTACCCCCACTCAGGAAGTGCCATAGTCAAGGCACATTCCTCTGAAAGTCACCATTATAGAATACTTTCTTTAATTATTGATTGTTTAATTGTATTATTCTGTTTTATTTTGCTCTGAATTTTGCATTGTACACCTGGTCCACACCACTAGGTACCAAAACACGACTAATCCACTGACTGTACTACACAAACAACCAGACCAGACACTCCGGCAGGCCCATCACACCACAAGGACTGTAACCGCCTCCTCCCCACCAATACGACAAGACCGCCCTACCACACAATATATCACGACACACACGCTATGTACACTACCCACAGAAAATTAAGATAATTACCCACAATGTTCGCGAGTTGAACTCGCCCAACAAATGACACACCCTTCTTAAAGAGCTCAATAGCACACAAGCGGATATCGTCTGTTTACAGGAGACACATTTAAAGCAAAACTCTAAACCCATTCTGGGACTCAAGAACTTCCCACACCAGTTTCACGCTACCTCCCCGACCAAAAGTAGAGGAGTGTCGATTCTACTGAGCCACACTCTAGCCTTTGACCTAATCTCAATCCAATTCGACCCACATATTAGGATTTATCATCCTAATATGCACTTCGAACAATTCCACATACACAATAGTGAACTCTTATTCGCCGAACGACAATCAGAAGTCCTATTTGGCCTCCCTCCTAGACAAAGTAGAAAAGCTCCAAACAGGCATCAGTCATCTGCGGTGACTTCAATCACATACTGGACCCTAACGCAGACTCTGCAGCCCGACACTCCACGAAACGTAAAAAAAACCCTACACAAGTATTGCAATTCCATGAACAAACTATTCTCATCATATGGCCTCTATGATATCTGGAGAACCCTACAACCCAACAAGGAATAGACCCACTACTCCCAAATTCACAATACGTACTCCCGCCTGGACGGGTTCCTAATATGCAACGCTCACTTAAAACAGGTCAGGGCATGCGACATAGAAACATCCACAATATCCGATCATAATCCAGTTTCGTTAGTCCTCGCAGATTCATACCAATTCAAAAACCGTAGCCCCTGGAGACTAAACAAACACATCCTCAGCGACCCCTCCTTCATGGAAGAGACACGGGATGCATTAAACCTCTACTTCGCGTCCAATGCCCCTAATGGTCCATCCCCCGCTACACTGTGGCTAGCACACAAGGCAGTTATCCGGGGGATCCTGACAGGTAGAGCGGCATATCTTAAAAGGGTCAACCATAACACATTGCTCACACTCCTCAAAAGACCTTCACAGATCAAACCAAGCGAATCCCACCAAGGTACTCCAACAACAAATACAAAGCATGCAAAACGAAATTAACAAAATCCACCTCTGTAAGGCAAACGCAGCGTTAAAGAAACTAAAAGTAATGCAACCTGCGCAAATATGTAATGGATTCGCTCGTTATTACGGCACACTGTACAACTTGAAAGACCACCCTAACACGCCCCAACCCACTCCAGCGACCATAAGAGCGTACCTCAACAAGCTCGCACTCCCCACTATCCACTCACAACAAGCAGCACAACTCACTACCCCCATCACCACAGAGGAGATTCTACACCATATAGATACAATGCTCAGAGGTAAAGCACCAGGCCCGATGGGTACACCAATACGTACTACAAAACATTCAAACACGAACTAGCTGCACCGCTCACCCAATTCTACAATGAGGCAACTAGAAGGGGCTCTTTTCCAACTGAGTTCCTGTCAGCACACGTCATCACCATCCCTAAACCAGGGGAACCCCCAACTACATGCCAAAATTTTAGACCAATCTCATTGCTTAACGTGGACGCAAAACTATACGCAAAAATCCATGCCGACTGCCTCAAAACAATACTACCTTCCCTAATTCACACAGATCAAGTGGGATTCGTAACGGGCAGACAGGGCCCGGAAAACACCAGGAAAGTCCTTAATATATACCACCTCCTAAAACACACACAAAAAAAAAGCGCAGCATCATTCTCTCATTACACACCAAAAAAGCGTTTGATCGCCTAAACTAGCACTTCTTACACAAAGCCCTGTCACTCTACGGCTTTACATCGCCCTTCCTGTCTGTAGTCCGTGCCCTATACAGCAATCCCACGGCAACAGTGCTGACCTCTTCATAACTTTTGCTGATGATATGAAGATATGTAACAGGGTTGATGTTCTACGAGGGATAAGCCAAATGGCAAATGATTTAGGTAAACTGTAAAAATGGTCAGAATTGTGGCAACTGACATTTAATGTGGATAAGTGCAAGATAATGCATCTTGGACGTAAAAACCAAAGGGCAGAGTACATAATATTTGATAGAGTCCTAACCTCAACATCTGAGGAAGGGGATTTAGGGGTGATTATTTCTGATGACTTAAAGGTAGGCAGACCACCTTTACACGACTGAGGGGCTAAAACCCTTCCCAGACTTACAAACAGAGTTTACACTTCCCTCGAACTTCACGTTCGCCTACCTTCAAATAAAAGCACTACTGAAAGATAACTCGATCCACATAAGGAAGCAGACACTACAAGCCTCAGTAACAAAGTTCGAACTACAATGCATAACAGCACTATCCACAAAGAAAACGTTCTCCAGTTGCTATTACAGTCTCGCACACCCCAAGATAGACACTAACTGGAAATTCATGAGGGACTGGCAAGAAGATCTCCAAGTGCATATCACCCCACAAGAATGGGAGAAAATCTTCACAGCGCACGGAGGACTAATCACCTGCGCCACCCACTTCGAGACATCGCGGAAAATACTATATAGATGGTAAATGGTACCCTCCATGTACCCTGTGTCCTTAAGGGGTTAATCTACTGTTCAAGCCTTCTACCATACAGCCCAAGCTGTCAATATTAACACCATACTGTATCTGATATTGTGATAAAACCCTCAATGTAAGAGCTCTGAAATGTAAGTAATGCAGGTTGTGTCATACTAAACAAAACCTTTTTTGATTCCCCACCCAGCTTTCTGCAACAATAAGCTGTAGTGGTTACAGTATTTTAGTGCCCCTTTAAGTAATCTATTGCAGAAGACACAAGTGGTTTGATTGGAATAAGTAACAGTTATCTCCATGCATACTGTAAACTTCTTGCAAGGTTTACAAAATCCTCTATGAATTTGGATTTACCCCTTGGCCTATAATTAGATGTCAACAGTATGTGTCAACTGGCAAGCGAAGTTAGGACAATCATAGCACATTACAAGCAACCTTACTTTCGGCTATCTTATTTGGAAGTTATTTTTGTCATTAAGAAACAGCTTTGGACCCAGAGGATGGAAATAATGGAATGGCTACACATTACTATAGGTGTTAAAATCTATGCTTGCATATTGGAATACATGTGTTATAAAATACAGTTAGAGACGAAAACATTTAAAAAAAAGTTAGTCCAGAAAACCAAATGAATAGGTATCACTGCAATAACCCTATACAACATACATTTGTTTGACTGTTTAGCGCTATATTTACATACACACTTTATGTATCCAGTTATTTCTGAAGTGTGAGGGCAAAGTATAATAATAAAAAAATTTAAAAAAACACTCAGGATTTACCACTATTTTTGAGCATTATTTAGGTCAGTGGTTCCCAACCCAGAACCACCCCAACAGTCCAGGATTTAGGCATTACCCAGTTGTGTCTACGGTGTTTTTAGAAAGAAAAAGAAAAAAAAAATACATGTTGGACACAACAGGATAATCCCTACATCCTGGACTGTTGGGGTTACTTGAGGACTGCGTTGGGAACCCCTGATTTAGGTGGATGATATGATTGTTTTGAGGTTACAAGCCAAATGTCACCTGGGAGAAAAATTAATAAATAAAATTTGACCACAGATCTAACACTGACCCCTCACATTTGGATTTAAGTCATTGTTTGCCTGTAAATGCACTGTCCCGATATTTGTCTCCATTCTGTGTGTAGTGTTCTCTAAATATTTTCACAAGTGGAAGAAGCTTTGTACATCAACTAAACAACCTTCAGATAAAAATAAAATAAAAACACAAAAAACAAAACAAAAAATAACAGTGGGTTTGATTTCCTCTGAGGTACATGAAACATTTAAAAAAAAAAAAAAAAAACACTTATGGATGGCTGACCTGGCACATTGATACAAGCAGTCTTTCAAAGTGACCCGAAGTGTCTGATCGGATGTCCTTCTCAATGTCTCTCCCAAACTCAGACTTGTAACATGCAACAATATTTTTTATTTCAATGTTTGTTCTGGTGCACAGAATCTCAATCAGTACTCGCTCCTGAGTACCTGCCCCCTGAAAGAAATTAAGCAAAAAATAAAAGATTAAAAAGGGACCCTACTTCAAAAAACAAAACAAAAACGCACACCATAGTATTAATAGACATATCCCCATGCATTTTTAATTGTCTGCAGCCTTTGCAAGCCCTCCTTTTCTTCCCCAGTACAGACTCTGTGACTGTCCAATCACAGACTTCCAAATGCAGCTCAATGAGAAGTCTTTGCAAGGCAGGTTCTCTGAGCAATTGCCTGCCTCTTAGCACCCCTGAGCTAAACGAACCAGGATCTAACCGATCCATCCGGTTGTCTAACAGCCAGGAATGTTAATGAAAGGGCCAAATTTGTTTAAAAATTGCACTTTGTAAAATAAAAAAATAGAAAAGTAGAGTGCTTTAGGTGTGTGAAGTGTTCCTTTAAATTGTAGTAGTGCAGGCTATAAATCAAATTCCTATTTATCTCTAGAAGGACATGCTACTCACAGGAAAGCAGTACATCCTGCAAAGTCATCTGACCACATTTTACGCGGTCAGTGCAGCAGAAGCAGAGGTAGTGGCTTTAGAATCTAAATGAAAAGGTAACAACAACAAAAACAACCCTCAAAATAATATAATCGTACCTTCATGGCGTGATACAAACTCCATGCATCATAGTAAGTGGGAGGCATGAACAGAGCAACGATGAGCTCTTCAACATTACCACTCAATTCAGACTTCAAGTCTTTAATTAAATCCTGCATAAAATAAAGGATTACCGTAAACTTAAAATTTGGTTTATTTTGTTTAATTGTTTAGTCACACAAATTCAACCTCACTAGCAAAAACAAAAACTGGTATTGGTAACAATTTATTCATTCTTATTTTTATCTTTTCTGTCAATTACACAGGTTTTCACAGCAGAGTTAAAAATTGAGAAAACATTATCCCTATGTAGAGGTCTTATATTAGGAACAAAATCCCACAGTAACTCATGTACCTTTCCATAAGCTGTCTTGAACGCAGCCTTTATCTTCTGCCTCTGGTCATTGGAACGGTTAGACACAACATCAATTATGGCCTGCTCATCAGTTCCTATTAAGCAAGACGTGTAGGCATCAAACAATTACACAAATACATGCTGTATAGTTAAACTAATTCAATCTCCTTACCAAATCCTTTCATTGCTTTACGCAGCTTTTCAGCATCACCCAATGCATCGAAATTGGCTGCAGGTCTGATGGTGCCTTGAGTGGCAGTCATGGCTGCAGCATAAGGCTGAACAACAAATAGAGAAGTATTAGATTATGCGGCATATCAGCAGACAAGTATAATGGAATGCCACATGCAAACAGTATCACTGGAAACAAATTTTCAAATTCCATATACATTCTATTCATCATAGGAGCAACATTTGACCAGTTAACCTATGTTCTACATCTTAAAGGAGCACTTTAGTGCAGGAAAACAAACTCGTTTTGGTCGTCGTCCCCCCTCATGGCCCCCCTCCCGCTGGGCTGAAGGGGTTAAAACCCTTTCAGCCACTTACCTTAAATGCCAGAGCCATGTGCGCTTTAAAACTGCCCATAGGAAAGCATTACTCAATGCTTTCCAATGGACGCCAGCGTCATTTCAGTGTGATTTTCACACGGAGATTTGCGGAAGCAGCCTCTAGTGGCAGTCAGGTAGACAGCCACTAGAGGCTGAATTAACCCCGCAATGAAAACATAGAAGTTTCCCTGAAACTGCTATGTTTTCAGCTGCTGGGCTAAAACCAGGGGGACGTGGCACCCAGACCCATTCATTGAGCTGAAGTGGTCTGGGTGCCTATAGTGGTCCTTTAAGTATGCAAACTTTTCGTTAAATAAAATTTAAAATAAGTTAAGAGGTACCATCCCTCAACTGACAAATCCTCCTGCCTCCCTTCCATTCTTCCTGGCCTAATTTTTTTATTTTGAAGATGTGAATATTTCCCTCTGCACATGAGATACAGCAAACCTGGATTATAGTTGTGACCCTTCTGCACTTTAGTGAGATACAACAGTACCCCAACAGATGATTAGCAAGGAATGTACATCCATATTAATCTAAAAAGATGAAAATGCATATTTCACCTAAATATTTCTAGTGGCGTTTTGCTACAAAACTAGGATACCCCCTACCGCTATCAAAAGTGTCTTTTTTTGTCTGTTTGATGTTCTGGGTAACTTATGATCACTTTTACAATTTTGCTTGATAATCAAATGAACCTTCAACCACAACAGCTAAAGTGCCAAGTGTTAGCCATCACTGGGGTAAGTAATAGGATTTGATAGAGACCCAACAGAATAGCATGGAGGTTTTAATTCTGCAGCTTTCAGCAAAATTATTGCAGTACTTCAACGAGCACCAAAACTGATGGACAACAATTAGCAAAGTTGTCAAAACCACAATTCCATGCATATGACATAGCAGGATGTGTAAGAAGAGCATTCTATAACGCAATTATGTGCAGCTGTGTGGGCCAAGAAACAAGATATTTTCTTTTGCATGCTTTCTTATATAAAAACAAAAACACAAAACCTGGTATAATAGGGGGATAATATTAGACTTGATAGGAATTACACCCAAATTAGATTTTGCCTCTACCCAGTCTGCATGTTTTTAATTAACATATGCAGTCTTTATGGTTTCAAATACATTTCTTACACTCGTCAGTATATAGACTCCATTAAAGGAAAGTTCCAAGCACCATAACCACTACAACACATGGTCAAAAACCTCCCAATGAAAGTAATCAAACCATTTTCTAACAGTTTGACTTCTTACCTGGTGGCCTCCACTCCTTACAGCTCAAAGAGAGAGCTCAAAACTCCTAGAAGCTTAAGTTGTCTCCTGTACAAAGCTCTGCTGTACAGGGCCAGCTCATTAGTTGAGAGCATCAATTGATAATTCTCAACCAATGAGCTCATCCCTGCACATTCAGGCTTAGCTCAGTGGGGGAGAGCCAAGCCTGAATGTGCAGGGATGAGCTCCTGCTGCAAGGGACCCCAAGTGAGAAGTCAAAAATAGAAAGAGGTTTGATTACTTACACTGGAGGGTTCCAATGTTATTCTGCTTGTTCTAGAGGGACAATCCAAATACCTTAATCAAAGTATCATCACACAAACATTGACAGCAAATATAAAAACCAAAAACCTATAAACAAGTCAGCTATATTGCAGAGAATACACATGCAGTTAAAATTTTTCCTAGCCAAACAAATCCACACACATGCAATCACCTTGATACAACAGGCTTTTTATACCAATTGGTAAAATTGCAAAGAAGAGACAAGACAAAATTAGGAAAGCTAAAAATCAGAAAGAGTGTTTAAATTGTCTTTTGGTTGCTAGTTAAACAAATACTCATTTAAAAATTATATTGATTTATATTTTAAAGCAGCACTGTGATGCTGAACTTACCTTTCCCCAATCGATTCCTCTCTCGGGATCTGTTCTACTTTTCTTTAAAGCATAAGATAAAGTAGGGACTACTTGGTCTTTTGTATATTTCCTACACTTGACCAGCTATGACCAGCGGAGTAGCAAAGTGTGCTCAAGGGTGGGGGGAGGAAAATAGGGAGCCCTCCAATGTCATTGAGGTGGGGGCCGGGAGGGAGGACAATAGGTCCGTCTGTCCATGTTTCCCCCACCCCATTGTCATTTAGGGCCCCCACCAGCCGCTCATGGGTGGGGGCTGGGTGGAGCACAATAGGTGTGTTTCTCCCCCATTTTCACGTAGGGCTTACACCCACCGCTCATGGGTGGGGGTGAAGGCGGACCATATGTCACCAGCTTAGTTGAATAGCCCCCACTCGCAGGCCATGGGTGGGAACGCAACACTGTCCCCCCTGCTAGTGAATAGATTTATTTTTGAACTGTTTAGTAGACATGGGTATTCGTGAGATTTTAATCTCCCTTATGCTAAGGGAGGGAGGACATGGGGGGCTTAGGAAGTGGCGGGGAGCACTGCTGCTTCTATTTTTACATTTTACAAGGAGGGAGCTGCGAGCCAGTAGCTTCCTCCTTGTAATAAAATGAACAAACGAAGAGGTCTTTGTTCATTCGTTTGAAATTTCTATTTATTTATTCGTCTTTCTGACGAATGAATGAATAGATAAAATTCCCGTTCGAATGCCCAAGTGTTTTACTGGGCATGCGCGGGAATTTCACAGTACTATCTAGTGTGGGCAGATAACATGTCCCACAGGTACGTCATCTACCCACACAAAGATGGTGGTGCCCAGGACCTATGTCCGGGCACAAAATAAAGATCAAAATAAGAGGTAATATGGGGGCCTTAGGGGGTGACTAGGGGGACAATTAGATGTAGTGGAGTCAAAAGGGGGGTTTAAAAAACAAAAACTGGATTCGGCCATGACAGTGCCGCTTTAAGTAAAACAATCCGTTTAAAGAGTGTTTCTTAGGGGTTACATTGCAATGTAGACGGATATAAGTAAAAGTCAGCTGAACAGAAACTGGTGAATCATTAAATTATTAGGAAGACTAATGTAATTATGTGAAGACGACGAAGATAAACAGCTTAACGCATTGAAAGCTGGGCTGTGGAAACATATGCAATAAAAAAAAAAAACTAAATACAAATGGAGACGTAAAAACAAAGGAAAGGCCAATAGAATTATTGTCACCTGTTATTACATGTGATAATTCTACATTCGACAATCATGCAAGGTGTTTACAAAATGCAGCACAATTAAGGATGGAGGCATAAAGCTTTTTAAAAAAAAAAAAAAAAAATCACAGCACAGGCAGGCACACACCACTGTGCGTTATTGGTGTTATACACAGCAGCTTCAGAATAAAGCTCAATGCAAGAACATACCTGATGCTGCACACTAACCTACAATACCAAAAAAAAACAAAAAACTAATGGATTAGGGTTTACACTGTTGAGTAACAAACTGTAATGAAGTTATACAGAAAGGCACAATGTAAGAAGAAAAAAAAATACATTTTGAAGAAACCACACTCTCCCGTAATGTACTTTATAGGGCTAAGAACAGGCCTTGGCCTTCCAAACCTTTACTTTTACTACGTGGCGGCTCAATTGGCCCAAAATGCACTATGGCATTCTCCCCCAGAAGATCGGTGGATCTGGAATACTCCCTGATGGGCCCAGACATGCCCCAGTTCCTCATATGGACCCCTAAAGAACATAGACCAATAGATCAAGTGATATGCCCAGCGATACGCAACTCCCTTAAAATTTGGGATGCCACTGCCCTTAAATACAGCCTGACCTCCGACCCGTCACCCATGACCCCATTCTTAAGAAACAAAGCATTTCTTCCAGGCATGAGTCCCCGGGATTTCAAGGGTATTGAGAACACAGGACTGCAGAGACTGTGCGAACTGTTTGAAAACGGCTCATTTATAACATTTGAAGAACTGACAAGCAGGGCCCCATTACGACCCTTCGACTACTTCCGGTATCTACAACTTAGGGATTATGCCAGAGACTCCCGGATCAAAACGGCTGCGTTGACACAGTTAACGTTTTTCGAAAGGAAGTGCAAGAGGGAACAATTCCCAAGCGGCTTAATTTCAGGTTTATATTCTCATCTAAGCACTCACACGCTAGAATGGGGAGATATCACATATATAGATCAGTGGGAAGCAGATCTCAAGGAGTTTCTGAAGGGCATAGAATGGCAGGAAATATGGGAGGCTGCTGCATCATCTTCAGTGTGCGTCTCCTTGCAGGAACAATCCTATAAGATCTTATTTCGTTGGTACATCACTCCAGTGACGCTGTACCGAATGCGTAAAAACCAGATGGACCTGTGTTGGAGAGGCTGCGGACGCAAGGGTACGTATATACACACACACACGTGGTGGGAATGCCTGGAGGCACAAACCTATTGGAAACAGATTGCTGCATTGCAGCGAGATGTTTTTGACAGGGAGGTGAAACTAGACCCATGGGTGTTTGTTGTCCAGATCCATGGATGGTTGGACAAGAACGGAACAAAACCTTATACAAAAAAAATAAACCTTGCAGCTAGAAGAGCCCTAGCACAGGTGTGGCTACAGAGGGAGACCCCAACAATGGCGATGGTAAAACAAATAATAAAAGATACTTTCCTAATGGACAAGCTGACAGCACAGATCAGGGGGACAATGAAGAAATTTGATAAAATCTGGAGCCCCTGGACAAATAGCACTGTAAGCGATTAGAGAAAGGCAGACTGAATTAGAACATCCAAACATACCTCTCGGGACATCTGAGAAAGGAGGTAAACCGTATTACTTGGACCCGGCTCGCAGGGAGGGATTTTTGCGGACCCCCGTGGGGGACAGGGTTGGAAGGGAAGCACATTCCCTAAGACGCCTTTCTATCGGCCGGCTCTCCTCGGACACACCCCTCCCTCCTCCCTCTACCCCCTTCTCTGTGACCTCGGATTTTAAATGCACTTCCTCTATTTTTTCCTTTTCTTTCATCTCTTAATTCCTTAATCTTATCATCCAACTGTATATTGTTGAAATTCTTGTGCGTGACAATAGGGACATGGGAGCAAACGTACGCTCGTATACTATTCCTAGTCGTTTTTTGCAAACACGTGTGTGGTCATCATATATCATGTTATCTGTTACATGTTTTATCTACTATCTAAAACCAGACGGGATTTCTAACCATACATAGAGATGAGAACTACCTTGAAAATTAGAGACGTAAATACAACTAGTGGTCTCTAGTTATGGGACCTATGCGACCTTGACTGTTCACCCATCTTGCTAATGTAAAAATGCCATGATCACAGTGTACATGCTTGTTTATGCATAATCCTAATGTTGCTGTACATGTACTGCTTGTGAAGTCTCGTCTTGGAATAAAAAAAAAAAAAAAAAACACACTACGCAGATCTATAAATCTTTTCTGTTATCAATCTCAACGCTTCCACTCACCCACTAGTGATTGGAAATTCAATCCTGGCAGGTGTGCCATGGCCCCTACTTCCAGTGAAGATCTTTAATGGTTGTTATTGTAACAGTGGGTGCACCACTGATATTTATGGCCACCAGGGGGATTATGTATGATTTCAGTACAGGAATGAGATTCCACACCATTAAAGCCTGTGCTGGCTTCCTCTTCTCCTGCTCAGCAGGAAGTTGCTAGAACAGTTCCTGGTGGGAAAGTATCTCCAGACTTCTGATGAGATGCAGTGGCATACACACAATCCATAGGGCCCCGGTGCAAATCCGATCCCCTCCCCCTTCCTCCATCCTAGTTTCCATTTATGTTAAAGGTCACTAAAAACCTGGTGAAATTTGCTTAATTCAGGAGGAAATTCACTGGCACGATATAGCAACCTTAGAATCTATGTGCATTAAACCCCTCAGGGTGAAGCATTTAGAAAGACACCAGCACATTCAGCGACAGTTTTGGCCATGGCTGTAGATTGCTTAATTCACAGAGAGAAACTAATTAGGAATCATCTTCTTAGGCCTACTTTAAAGCCAATATTAGACATATGCCTAGTCCCCCCATAACACAATAGTCAGGTAACAATAGGGACTTTCAAATCACTCCTAGCATACACATGCTTAAATATGAAAACGGGGTCCAAAACGCTGATTGACAAGAGCATTTTAAATGACCTGGTCAGTCTCCAGCAGCCTTCCTCTGCACAGTAATTGGCTTTCAAGCAAGCCAATTACTGATCAGATCTTGCTCTATTAAGGCTAACATCACATTATGTGGAAAGATGTCCCCCCACTGGTACAATCAGCACAACAAGAAGATTCACTTGGTTCCTGCAAAGTATATAATGCTCCATGTTTCAGGGTTCTGCACATGATTTTGAAGATTAAAGAACTGTACTCTTCTGGACAGATATCACAGAGGCCACCAGGAATTTGCTCAAGTCATTTTCCCAGCTTAGGTGTTACAGCCCTGAGTGATCCTATCATAACTGGGACCACTACTGCCTTCACTATCGACATCCTTCTAGCTATTCTTTAAGTCCTTGGCATTTGTCTGCCTGCTCATGTTCTTTCTTTTTGATTTTAGAGCCAATGGGTATTGCCACATCTACCACCACAGCAGTCTTCCATTCCTGGTCTATCACCACAATATATGGTTGGCAAGTACCGGCTTGTCTGTCTGGATCTGAAGGCTCCACATCATTTTATACAGGTCATTCTCAACTACCCTTTGTGGCACCTCCCAGAACAAACTTCAGGTGGGCAAAGACCTGTACTTCAATTAGACCTGTGCAAAGAACGCACTACCTGTGCACCCTGACGTGCTTAGTACAGTTTTGACAAAGAATGACAAAGATTATATATATTCATTCAACTAAAAGAAGGAACCTACCGTAGGAGCCTGGCCTGGAGCCGGCCCGGTTGGATAACCACCTGTAAAGAAGAATGAAAGAAAAATGGTCTATTGATATTTTTTTAATATTAGCAGATTCCCCCCAAGCTTGCAAGACAGCTCTGCATCCATACATCGGAATGTTTACACAGTTCTCTTCGTCAAAGTGTAACGTTCCCTCCTTCCATCCTACACTTGTGCATCATAATTCTGATTCTTTCACACCAAGTGGGTGGGCAGATAGATCATGTGTTACTGGAACGGTTTTATGGTCTGTAACTTTAGATTTGTAATAACCTTCAATTGAATGCACATTACACTATACAATATGCATTGCGTAAACATGCTAAATAACATGGCTTAAAATAAAATACACTTCTGGGTAGATTAATGCCTCTAAAATAGGTATGCTTGTGCATTTGTAGATTATTCTATACTTTCCCATGGGGGGGGAAACGGGGGGACGGACCTGTAACAAAGCCCTATACAGCAGGTTCATATGGGAAATGTACAGCTGTTTTTTTTTGTCCTTTAGTTGTTGCACCACTTTAGGGAAGTGAGTGACAAGGAAATGGAATAAAGAAACAAGTGGGTATGCTTTCCCACATCCTCATATACACACTAACACTTCGCTTAAATATACACGTATATTTATAACCCAACACACAAACACGCTTTACTGTTAAAAGGCCAATGTCTGGATAGGCAGCAAAAATAAGCCACCAGAACATTATGTTTTAAAAGTTTAGTCACACACGTGAATATTTGTACCATCATTTTTAGACTTCACAACAGAACTTAATATAAGACCTGCCCATGTATTTTAACTAGAAATTTAGAAGAAAAAATAAAAATCAATTGAACGTCTTATCCCACCCTTAGTGTCTCTTAAACCCCCAGTGAGCAACTTTCTGTCAGACAGGATAAAGAAGATCCTCTACCACGGTTTACAAGGCCATGCTACACAGAGTGACTGGGAATACTGTGCTTCCATTTCCTCTGGACAACTAGACCTTGTGCCAGAGGACACTGGGAATATAGGACGTAGGCAGTTTTTTGTCCCCATATTCTAGGGTTAAAAAATAAAAAACTGCTTCCTATATTCCGAAAAATAAAATACATCTAACTTTATAAGCATGTAGCAGGGATGGGAAATTTCAACAGAGGAAACACACACACGGACACTTTACTCCGAAACTAACCTGGCATTTGGCCGGGTCCTCCACCACCATAGCTTTGTACACCAGGTTGTTGGTATCCTCCATATCCTGGTGCCCCACCAGGTGCACCTGGTGCTCCATAACCTCCGGCAGCAGGTGCTCCATAACCCCCAGCTGCAGGTGCTCCATAACCCCCAGCTGCAGGTGCTCCATAACCTTGGGCACCTGGTGCGCCATATCCACCAGCTTGAGGAGCTCCAAAGCCCCCTGCAGGGGCCCCATATCCAGGTGCACCAAATCCACTACCTGCCTGGGGTGCTCCATAGCCAGGTGCCCCAGGAGCACCGTATCCTGGTGCTCCAGCAGGTGCCCCAAAACCTTGAGCTGAAGAAACAAAGTTTTATAAACATTACTCACAAACCGTTCAAAAATTAAATACAATTTTATTCCCCCCCACCACACTGGACACAATATTAAGACAAAATTAAATTTTAATTATTAAAAAGCAACATACCTCCAGGGTAAGAAGGCATGCCCCCAGGATAGCCACCAGGAGCTGGGTAACCACCTGCCGCTGGAAACCCCCCACCAGATGCTGGTGGGTAAGCACCACCTCCTGCAGCAGGAAACTGCCCACCAGGGAAAGGCTGTTGCTGACCACCTGGTGGGAAGGAAGGGTCTCCACCCTAAAGAAAAATCAGGATACAAATTAAGGATTCAAATGGTGTGATGTAATAGCACAAAACTATACATGGAATTAACCAAAAACCCACTGAAGTGTGTGTGTGTGTGTGTGTGTGTGTGTGTGTGTTTAGTATGCAGAATATTGCTTGAAGGAAAGTGTTTTGTCTGTATGCATCATTGTGTATACAGGTTAATATGTCAGTTCAATATACTCATTGTTACATTACATGGTTATCAACACACAAAACTTCTATATTATATGAATGTCAATGCCATCTATGCTTTAGCTGCACTATAGGAACAGTCCAACTGACATGTTATTCTACTATACTTCCTCTCTCCTTAGTTCATGCTCCCGTAATCCCAGGCGTCTCTTTGACACCTTTAACTCTCTTCTTCGCCTTGCTGTGGTCACCCCTCAAACTAACCTTACAGCTTTGCATGCTACTTTACCGACAAGATTGAACAGCTAAGGAAAGAATTCTCCCCACCCTGCCTTTCTCTTTCTCAACCACACGTAGATCATGCCTTTCCTACCCTTCAGACTTTCTCCCCGGCTACTGAACAAGAGGTGGCTGCACTTCTCCTTTCCTCTCACCCCACCACTTGCCCGCTTGATCCTGTCCCATCTCATCTTATCAGATCTCTCTCCCCTTGTCTGGTGCCTTCCTTAACACAAATCTTCAACTGCTCTCTATCTTCTGGTGTTGTCCCTGCTGACCTTAAACATGCTACTGTAGTACCTATCCTGAAAAAATAAAAAAAAATAAAACATCCCTCGACCCATCCACCCACTCTATTGTCCCATATCCCTGCTCCCTTTTTCATCAAAGCTTCTGGAAAGACTTGTCTTTACCCGTATGTCTCACTTCCAACTCTCTCCTTGACCCTCTTCAATCTGGCTTCTGCCCCCTCCACTCTACTGAGACTGCTCTTATCAAAGTTACTAATGACTCAATTGCAGCCAAATTCAAAAGGCCACTACTCCATATTAATACTTTTTGACCTCCCTGCTACCTTTGACCCCGTTGATCATGCTCTCCTTCTTCAAACTCTTCAAATCACTGTCTCTGTGACACTGTTCTCTCTTGGTTTTCCTCCTATCTCTCCAAACGCTCAGTTTGTCCTCCGGGAGGCATAACCACCTAGCAAAGCTAGTGGGTATGCGGCAGCCTCCCGGAGTCCAATGCCAGACCTGCATTTCAGCCAATCAGGTAATCAGGGGAGCCGTGCTGAGTGCGGGAATCCTGATTGCCTCAGATTTTTAAAATGGCAGACTATTTCTGTGTCTGCCACAGATTTAGTGGATGCCTCTTTTAAAGGCAGTCCCATCAATGTTAGAAAGCTCCATAAGAGAGCTTTCCTTGCCAGGGATCTATCCTCTTCATCTTCTGAGAAGGATTTGGTCCCAGTTTTAAGCAAAAAGAATAAAGGAAGGCGGCTGGTCTCTCCCGCCAGTTCCTTGTCTGAGGAAAACTTCACTGCTCCTCCTTACCCGCATACTCGTTTGAGTAAGCGTAAAATTAAGGGGACAGGACCCCAAAAAAGAAATAGCGTGTCTCCCTCGTTTGAGCACCAGAAACACCTTTCAGAGGAAAAGGACAAATCTCGTTGGAGGTTAGATAGTCCCTCTCCTTCCTCTTCTAGAGCGTTCACTCATTCTTCCTCCCAAAGCCGTTCCAGTTCCAGATATGGCTCTCCAGAAATAGACTGGGAATCCGAGGAAGTGGTACGTTCAGCAGCTTCCACTGAGCGAGGGAAGCTAAGCAATGTTCAGATGGTCAGAGTAAGTCTCCAAGAAAAGACTCTCCCATCAAAATTATTTCACTCCAGATGTGCTATGGAGCACGATTCTGAGGTTAGAGATTTCGCTAAACTAGCCTTCAGATCCCCCTTGGTTAAGGAGGATGACCGTCTCCTCAGGAACCACATTGGTATCCTGGACATTCAGGCTTTAATGGCTCCAGAGGTAGATCCTGCCCTGTTATCTATCACAGGAAGCAGCATATCCTCTGATCCCACAGACCAGACTTTTTGCAATATACAGTTCAAAATTGCTGATGCTGTGGGCCCACTATTACTGATGCTGGATAAGGCAGAAAAAGAAGGCAATGCTCAGAAACCTTCTGCTTCATCTCTGTTGGCGTCTAAGATGGCTCTTTTAAAAGGATCTGGCAGGGCAGTGCTAATTATTGGCCAATCCTTTAATTACATATCAATCATCCGCAGATCCCACTGGCTCCATGCAGCAGGTCTGTCTGACCTAGCCCCCAAATCGCATGAGTTCCCAAATTTGGAGGAGTCTTAACTATTCGGTCCCTCGTTCATTCAGGAGGTTAAAGACCGTTACAAGGCAAGGAGATCCTTTTCAGAACTCAAGAAGTCCATCCCTGGCTACAAAAAGCCCTTTCGGACAGAGGGTCGCCCCTATAGGACTGCAAGAGCCTCTCACCAGGCCCAGTACCGCTACTATAGTGGAAGACAAGCTCCCGGGCGGTGGCAGAGGAGCACATTCCAGAGGCGGTTCAGCTTCCAAAAGAAAACCCATGCATTCAAGTAAGTGTGCCTCCTCATATGCCACTAAATTGGAAGGATATTTCCTCAGACAAATGGGTTCTAAAGATTTTTCAAAGGGGTTTACAACTCCCCCTTTTAAGGTTCCCAGTCCAGAAATTTGCACCCAGTGCTAGATGCCTCCATTTCCTTAGCTTTAAGTCAAGGGAAGATAGAGTTGGCAGACCTGTCTATTACAGGATGGGTCAGCCCATTGTTACCAATCCAAAAATCAGACGGTTCCTGGAGACCGGTCCTAAACGTAAGGTCTCTGAACGTTTTCAGCAAAAGGAAAAGGTTCAGGATGGAGGGTTTATCAGATCTTCCAGGCTTACTACAGAAAGCTTTTTTCTGCATAAAGTTAGACCTAAAAGATGCCTTCCATTTAGTCTCCATAGCCAAGAAACAGGCGTTTTCTCAGGTTTCAGTGGAAAGGAAAAAAGTGTGGCAGTGGACCGTTATGGTGTTTGGCCTATCCAACGCACCATACACATTCTCCAGAATTATGAAATCCGTAATAGCTCAAGTCAGACTAAAAGGTTTCATGTGTCTGTACTATCTAGACGACATCCTGCTCATGCACCCAGATGGGGAAATCCTTGCTTCTCAAAGGGATTACCTTGCTTCCCTTTTACAAGACCTAGGATTTGTAGTATATTTACAGAAATCAGTCCTAATTCCCACTCAAACCATCTTCTTTCTGGGTTTCATACTGAACACCAGGACTATGTCGCTAGGAAACCCTCAAGACAAATGGGACAAATTATTGGTACATCTGACGTCATCCCTCAGGCACCAGAGTTGGTCCTTGAGAGACCTAGCAAAGATTATCGGGAAATTAATAGCTTTAACACCAGCATACAACAATTCCCCCTTACTTTGCAGAAGAAGTCAGTTGATTTTAGAGAATCGACTAAGACAGGGCAGCCACTGGGAATCAAAATTTGTTCTCCCCAAGAAGGTCAGAGAAGAGTTGAAGTCCATTCTGGAGTTAGAAATTCCACTTCCTAGTCCCCTGTTAGAGCAGCCTGTGGCAGTCACTCTGACGTCAGATGCCTCAAGTCACGGTTGGGGTGCGATTACAGCCCAGAACGCCATAGGAGGAATTTGGTCAGACCAAGAGATTCACCTCCATATAAACATCTTGGAGTTAAGAGCTATAAAATTAGCTCTCCAGGGTCTAGTTCCTCTAAACCAGTAACCAACGTCGGTAAAAGTCCAATCGGACAACGGGACAGCGGTGGCTTATTTAAACCACAGAGGGGGCACAAGATCAAGGGGTCTTTGTTTAGAGGCTCTAGATCTTTGGTCTTGGGCTTTAGCAGGCAATGTTCAGGTTTTCGCAGAATATGTTCCGGGAGAGGCGAACGAGCTTGCAGACTCTCTCTCTCTCGCCAAAGTTTGTCCCTGGCAACTATTCAATTAAAGATTGCTCTATTCCAATGGATAGAAAGCAATTTTGGCCAGAGACAGGTAGATCTGTTTGCATCCCAAACATCTGCACAAACTTCGTCTCCCGGACCTGGACAAAGGGAGCTTGGAAAATGGATGCAACGTCTTTCCAATGGACAGATGTTCCAGCCCCTTATGCTTTCCACCCTCCATCTTTACTGAAAGTGCTGGAGAAGATCCGCAGGGACAGGGTACAGAGCTTAGTTCTCGTTTATCCAGTATGGACCTCCAGACCCTGGAATCCCCTGATCCATCAGTTAGTCAAGTGGACTGCTTTCAGGGAACCAGCGATCTTCTGCTCAAGCTCCCGCAGCTGATGTGGATTGCAGCCCCGATAGGCTGTTTACACATCGCCTTTTATTGTATCAGGTCTTGGATATTATTAACTCATCTTTAAGACGTAGAACTAGGGTAAGATATAGAAAGATGATCGAGGAATTCAAAGAATGGGAGGTTTCTTTTCTGTCTAACACACAGGGATCTGATACCGTTCCATTGGCTTTAGAATTTCTTACCCTTAAGTTCCATTCTGGTTTATCTGTCAGTTCAATCAAGACCTGTGGATCTGCTTTAAACTTCCTGATCCCCCAACCTTACTCAGGATGCCCTGTATTTGAGATTACTAAAAGGGTTATCCGTCTGCCGCCCATATACCCCACGCTACACATCTACTTGGGATGTAGACATCTTATTAAATTTCCTTAATTCTTTGGATAATGCTAAAATTGATTTAACCCCTTAGGGACCAAACTTCTGGAATAAAAGGGAATCATGACATGTCATGTGTCCTTAAGGGGTTAAGATGGACTGCTATTAAGTTGGCTTCTCTGCTGTCCTTGGCCCTGGCAGCTAGAGGAGCAGAGTTAACGCAAATCCATATTTCAGATCCTTGGTTGTCCAGGACCCCGGGAGGTTTCCATATTATACTAAAAGGCAGACAAAAAACATCCCATTTTTCTCCTGGTCCGGTAGAATTGGATTTATTCAAGATCCTTTCCGAACCAGGCTTATGTTTAGTCAGTTTGTTACAATCGTAATTACAACTTTCTGCTGTATTTAGAAATAATATCAGTCAAATACATTACATCAAGGAATCCCTTTCGTCCAGCCAAGGTTAATACAATTAGAGGCTGGATACTTTCTGCCATGTCTTCGGCTGGTATTTATGTTTCCGTGTTCAAAAGCAATTCAATTAGGGGAGCCTCGGCTACCAAAGCAGCAGGAAAGGGTCTTCCTCTCCCTACTTACTTGAAAGCTGCTAGATATTTGTCCAGTAAAACCTTTGTTAGATTTTACTGGAGGCCTTCAGAAGTTGAACGCCTTCAGTTTCTTAGGACTACCACCAGGTGTGTGCTATTCTATCCACTAGCTTTGCTAGGTGGTTATGCCTCCCGGAGGACAAAATCAGAGTTTGCAGGAATCTATGATCTGCAAACTTTCTTTGTCTTAGGGATGAGCATAACTCTAAGTTAAGGGTTTTGCCTGCTGGTGGTAGTTTGTTTTTCTAAAACATAAGGTTATCTGGTGCTTATTCAGCCTTTTGATAACTGTTCTCTGGGGGGGGGTTTGGTTTTTTATTTATTTTTTTTACAGACTATAGCCGTACTCCAAGACAAGACCAACAAACCAAGGATCCACCTAAGTAGGAGGATTGGATGCTAGTAGTCTCGCCAGTATGATATTCTCATGGACTCCCTGCATAAAGAATCTGTTTGCTGGGACTTGTTACAACATTTCTTTTCTCTTTATGGAACTTATTTTGTTGCAATGTATTATGAATGGTTCCAGTGTTCATTTGATACTTTCCTTTGCTATACATTGTTGCCTTGTTGTCAGCTCAGCTGCTTTATACAAAGTTCCAAGTCTATCTTATATGTCTTCATGACAAACATTTTTCTTGTTCCCCTGTACTATTGGCTACTTGAATTGTTTTATTTTGTGTTTAGATGTTTAATTATATTCCTATACACTTTGGGCAATATTTATCCTTAGTACTTTGTGGGATGTGCTAACCATCCACAGTTTCCCAATTTTAAAAATCTGAGGCAATCAGGATTCCCACGCTCAGCACGGCTCTCCTGATTACCTGATTGGCTGAAATGCTGTGAAGATGCACAGCGCAAGCTTTTCAGCTCTGGAATTTGACTCTGGGAGGCTGCCGCATACCCACTAGCTTTGCTAGGTGGTTATGCTCATCCCTAAGACAAAGAAAGTTTGCAGATCATAGATTCCTGCAAACTCTGATGTCTCCTTTTCTAATGATACCTCCTCAATTCATCCGGTCTCTGTTGGAGTCCACCAAGGCTCTGTCCTTGGTCCTCTTCTATTTTATCCTTATACTGCCTCTCTTGGCAAACATATTGCTTAATTTGTACCACCTGTACGCGCTCTCCTCCCCAGACCTCTCCTCTGCCGTCCTGCAACGTGTCACTGCTTGCCTTTCCTCCATCTCTGAATGGATGTCCTCCTGCTTTCTAAAACTGAACTCCTTGTCTTTCCCCCTCCTAATACTAATCCTCTTCTTCCGCTCTCTCTTTAAGTCGGTGGTATCCACATCAGTCCATCCTTGCAAGCACGCCGTCTTGCGGTCATATTTGATTCTGGCCTCACATCCAGCATATTACCAAATCCTGTAGATTCCATCTTAAAAAAATAGCCCGCATCCGCCCCTTTCTTACACAAGATGGTACCAAAGAGCTTGTCCATGCTCTACCAATTTCCTGCATGGATTATTGTAACCCTCTCTTAATGGGTCCTCCCAAAAACCGTATTACCCCGCTACAGTCTGTAATGAATGCTCAATTTAAAATGCTAACCTATAAAGCATTGACCAATTCTAGCCCCTATCTCTTCACAGATCCATAGGTATGCCCCTTCTTGGTCTCTCCATACAACCAACTCACGCTTGTAGGACTTCTCACAGGCGGCTCCTTTCCTATGGAACAGCCTGCCTACCACCATCAGACTTTCCCCTAGTCTTCAATCGTTTAAGAAGTGCCTTAAAACCCATCTTTTAGGAAAGCGTATGGCCTCCCAGAGTAACCTCTACCTTACACACCTGTCTCTTGCTCTCTCCTGAAGGGCAGCACTCTACTCTCTCCTCCAGCTATGCCCTATCGTAATGTGTTTTACACCCCACCTCATATAGACTGTAAGCTCGTTTGAGCAGGGTACTCTTCAACCTATCGTTCCTGCACGTTTTCTTGCAATTGTCCTATTTATAGATAATCCCCCCCCCTTGTAATTTTGTAAAGCGCTATGGAATCTGTTGGCGCTATATGAGTAATAATAATAATAATAATAATAATAATAATGATATCCAAATATATGTCAATACATACTTTTTTGCTTCATAACTGAAAAACCTCCCCAACCGATCGACCCATACAAGCTCGTATAGAGCATCCCAATTATGATGGTGTGACTTTAGGTAATTATTAGCAGTTTCTCGAGACTTTAGGCAGCTGTCTGGCAAGGTCAACTCCCAAATCCCAAATAATAGCTAATGCCTTCCTGGGCAATCTACTCAGGGACTCCGCCATTCTATTTTGAACCTTTTACTGTCACCAAGAGGCCAACATATTGTCACTACTTTCTGTGGCAAACACCCCACGGCCAAAATGATGGATAGAACATTCTTCTAGTTATTTTTTAAGTCCTTGGCATTTGTCTGCCTGCTCATGTTCTCTCTTTAATTTTACAGTCAATGGGTATTGCCACATCTACCATCACAGCAGTCTTCTATTCCTGGTCTATCACCGCTGGGTCTCACCAGTTTAATTGTCACAAATTGAAGCTTAATTGCTTCACTACTTTGCATAGGTGAGAACAGCCAGTACCTAGGTATTACAATGGGACCTTATACTTCCACAACATATTCCATAAACATGCTTTAGTATTGCTTTAACTTCTATTTTTCTTTAATTCAGGGTTTCATGGTGAGCATGACTGGGAATTATTGTTACATTTCCTTTTCAAGTATATTACTGTAGTATGGCAAGTACATATTTTGCCCTCATTTACACACTCACACAACTTTTCCCATAGTACTGGAGTCATCTTAAAACGCATAACTATAGACTTCACCATTAAACTTTATAATTATAATAATAATCATTATTATTATTTTGGCTGTTTTCCTAGACCACTACACACACGCCATGACAAATCTCATACAGTGCAGGTGTAACAATTGGATGTAACAAATACTCACCGGATACCCTGGGTATCCTTGGTAGCCAGGATATGGGAACGACATTCTGCAGAGAGAAAGAAAATAAATTAAATAGAACGCACACACACCTTATGACATGCCAAGCAATGTATTCATATGTAGTCTATTAGTTTGCGCCATTCATCAGGAGTGACTGAAAAGTGCAGCCTATAAAAAGCTGGAAGGAAAAGTTTGGCCTGTAAAGTTCATAATGTTTGTTAAACATTCTGTGAGCATGCAGTTTGACTCATTTTGCATCCTTAGTAATTCATATCTTAAAGTCACCAGATCACATCCGCCACATGTTGTTATCACAGCAAAATTAAGTCATGCGAGATGATAAATAAGCAGTGGGCAATACTAAAACAGATCAGCATTTATTAACCATGTAATAGCCGATATACTCGCACTGTTCTAGTCAGGAATTAATGGTCTATCAGGCAGGTTGGCATAGACCTATTCCCATCAGTAGCTCCTGGAAGATGCCTTTTCTATAACCTTTGAAACTATAAACCTAAAGGGACACTATAGTCACCAGAAGAACTACAGTTTAATGTAATTATTCTGGTGTACATAGTATGTCCCTGCAGGCATTTTAATGTTTACATCCCTGCCTAGAACATCTATAGTGGCAGACACTCCGATGGACACTAGAGGTGCTTCTGCAATGGAGGCACCGAATGTTCCCCATAGAGATGCATTGATTCAAGTCGAGATGCTGACTGGACAGTGCAACATGTTTCCTCGCATGTGCAAAAGCCACCTAATGCTATCCTATGGGAAAGCTTTGGATTGGCTGAGAATCAAATTTGATGACCTCAACCAAGGAGGCGGAGCAGGGCCAGCCGCAACGAGACCTGCAAGGCACTGTAATAAGTGTGAGTAAACTCACATTTTACTCTTCCGAGGGGCCTAAATAACGCTATTAGAACTATGGTGTCAGGAATACATTTTTGTATTCCTGGCACTTTAGTGTTCCTTTAACCTAAAAAAGATTAATATGGAGGCCTAATGCATTGAATGCATGAGCATACTTTAAAAATATCAGCTAAAAACACAGAACCAGCATAGTGAGGCCTTGTGCAGCATTTATGGAGAATGCTATACACAAATTCCTAGTCAATAGAGCTGCAACAGTACTATATAGTGTGAAATTCCATTAAAAAAAAAAATGTTGAATAGTCAATTTCTTCAACAAGGTAATGTGCGTGGTGGGCTTAAAACCAACTATGGCTGTCAACAGGGGTTTGTGCAAGCAGACTAGCAGGGCAACTGTTCCTCAGATCCTCCAATCAATTGCTTACTAATGGGGATACATGATCTGTGTATGAGCTAAAAAGAAATATAGCCCAATTCCACCAAAACAAATTATGTTGCACTGGGTAAGTATATATTATAAACTGTTGATTCTCTCCGTTAGTTTCCTAAATGAAGGCAAGAAAAACATGCTCCCTTTTGCCTTTGCATTAAGAGTTCTCCACCTAAATGTTTAAGGATAAGCAATTAACCACCTTAGATGGACCTGTCTGGGTACCCCTCCCACTGGAGAGAAGGATACCAGATTTCCAAAACGGAGGCTAGTAATGTTCAATAGCAGTTAGTGATTAATGCATGCACACCTATGCATATACGTGAGAAAGGTTGCAAACAGTATTTCTTCAGCCAGGTACCATCTCCTCATTGATAAAGACAACGAATGTTTTAAAGTTAAAGGACAGTGTTTAACCTTTGTTTGTATTTCTAATTGCAGGTGCACAGCTTAGTAAATCTTGCAAATCAAAGGTGCATAGAGTGGGCCATTTATTGACTCCCATGAGCAGTTAAAGGGATTCTTTGGTGTTAGGAATACAAATCTGTATCCCTAACACTATAGTGCCATCTGGTCTCCCACTCCCTCATGCCCCCAGCTCATAAAGGGTTAAAAACCAAAACCTTTTAGTCACTTACTCTGTTCCACAGCCTTTGTCCTTCGGCATGAGATCGGCACTTGGTCTCCTCCAAGTCCATAGCCACTAGGAAGTGCCTCTAGTGGCAGTCTTAGTCCTGCAGTGTAATTATTGCAGTTACTCTAAAACTGCAATGATTGACATCGCAGGACTAAGTGGGACTGGGACACTGCACCCAGGCCACTTCAATGAGATAAAGTCGTCTGGGTGACTATAGTCTCCATTTAACTCTCTGAAGCAATTGCCTGACTGTTCATTGGTGTGCTTTACTTTGTCAAAGGAAAATTTACTTTGATTTAAAGTTTGTGAATACTAGCGGCTTGTATCATCAGGGCACAACTTTAATAATCTTTTTTTATTTTGGTCTACTCTAAAAATTCACTACTCCTGGTCTGGTTTATAAAACAAATTTTCAGGTTTCAGACTCAGTGCACTGGAGTTGGTTTAAACATTCCTTGGGAAAGGAGTGAATTTTCCTAAATATTGTATATGAGAATATGCTATGTGTTATATTCAGTATTCTGCTATTTGATCCCTTGGAATATGTTTGGCAATCACTTTAATGTACATCAGGGATGGGTTCTTAAAGGGTTAAGGATCATCATTTCCCAAGGATTCCCCTGTTTGTCAGGGGACATTTTAAATTCATTTTTGCAAAAAAGTTTACTCTCTTAGGCTTATATTCACCATGTAATATTAAAGCTGGGTATTGCAAATGTCTTATAAGCCAGTGGAATGTCTTTTCAGCCCGTAGACCATTGTACCAGTATTTAAAAAAATAAAAAAAATTAAAAAAAAAACAACAGCATCCCCTCTACTAAATCCCAGTACACCCCCCTACTAAATCCCAGCACCCCCTGTGGCCAACAAGCAGACTCCACTCACATTGCCGCTGCCAGTATGCGACTCGGGAGTCCGGCCTCTGGTATACCCCAAATGACGCCGTCCGCACCCTGTGCCAAATCTGATCTGCTACTTCTTGAAACCCTGTGAAGGTGGAGCACGTTGATGTCACGTCGGAATGTGACATGGCATTGCATGCCTCCATGCACCTCCAGGTACTCCACTGTCGCAGCCAATGCAACACTAAACCAGACAGACACAAACACTACTTTATTGCTCCCTACCTTTTGGAGCTGATGTGGGACATCTCCCTGGCGTCCTATATGCTCCCTTGCGCGGTTTAGTGATGCCGGGTGCCGGAATATGATGTTATATTCCAGCGCCAGGCTTCACTACAAACGGCGCGCGCGAGGGAGCAGTGAGGAGCAGTAACACTGAGCTCCCTTGCTGGCCCTCCTCCCCGGCCGGGTAAGTTTTAGAGTAGGCACCTGCAATGTGGGGAAAGGAGGTGCCTACTCTGCTATAACACCGAGCATGTACTCGCGGCTCGCCGGGCCGCAAAGATGTCCCTTGTGGGCTACGAGTTTGACATGCTTGCTCTGCAGTCTGTACCAGGGATAAGCAACCGTCAGCACTGCAGATGTTTTGGACTTCCCTATGATCAGCATTAGAGAACGTTCAATGTCCTCATACAATGTGCGAGGACGTTGAATGTAACATACCAGAGTCTAACTTTGTTGTATCATCGGAAGCTCCCTCTAGTGTAGGGGTTCCCAAACCAGGCCTCAAGTACCCCCTACCAGTCCAGGTTAGACACAACTGGGTAATCCCTAAATCCTGGACTTGAGGACTGGGTTGAGAACCACTGCTCTAGTGGATGTCAGTTGTGTTTAGCTCTGCAATCAAACATTGCCGTATCTACAAAATGGCAATGTTTTACATTGCAGGACTAAAATGGCAAGGCCAATGGTGCTAAACCACTTTGTTGAGATGGGTCTGGAGTCCTTTAAGGAACAGAACTTGATCCAGACCCCTACATTGCAAATCCTTTATCTATTTATATCTCTCACTGCAAAACACATTGAAATTTCTTGCGGGTTCATCATGGTTCTATAAATAGTTGCGGGCCAGTTTTCTAGTGCACACAATTACAGAATGGAGATACAACACATTGCCTGCTTGTGTCCAAGTTTGGCAGATACCAATAATAGAAAGATACTGCTAATCAAATGAACAGTTCAGTTGAGTTTTAAAATGGTGCTTTAAAACTATAAATATGTGGATTCTAAATAATATTCTATTGATGTGACTATTCAGGGTCTATGAAAACAACAACAAATTATTCTCATTTTGAACAAACTAAAATAACAGCTCTGTGCTGTAAAACACCAGTGTAGACCAGGCGGATCTCATAATAAACTTGAGAAAGAAGGAGTGAAATTTAGATTACCGGACAACACACACACACACAATATTCTCTTGCTTGTTGATACAAAACACATACATGCCGCCTCACCTTTGGCATTCCAACACCCCCTACCATGATGCTCAGTCAGCTACAAAACAAAAACATTTCTCCAGCAGTAGCCACCTCTTGCATACCAGTACACACTTCACAATTACAATGTGGGATCCAATCTACTGATGGACAGCCAATAGAGGCAGTCTTGTTTCTGTAATGTAATTATTGCATTTTCTCTAAAACTGCAACAATTTACATTGTAGGAATAAGGGGGACAGGGACATTGCACCCAGACCACTTCAATGAGCTGAAGTGGACTCCGTGCCTATAGTGCCCCTTTAAACATGTCCCATTCTACTTTCATTATCCTCCTTCCCCCAACCACCAAAAAGAAAAGACAAGAACAGTTCTATTGACTTGTGCATTCTTTGCACTTCCCCCTCTCCAGGAACCAGCTTTTAAAGATGATTAGATTAGAGATTTCAAGCTAATTAAAGCAAAGACTGGCTACAGTTTGTTTTTTCATCCTCACTGCAAATTGTTGGAATATGAAATGAGACATTCAAAGGATTATGTTACAGCACGTCATCATTTGAATAGTATGCAAAGTTCCCTCAACATCCCTAAATAAGCAGTTCGACCATTTTCTTTAAAAAGCAACATGCCATTTTTAAATCAGACAACTGTGCACATATCACTGATTTTAATAGGTTTAATGATCCCTATATTTAACATATGTATTTGAGGTGTGAAAATAAAATGAAGGGACAACTGAAGACACCCACCACTTCAACTAGAGTGTTACCCCTGCATCGTAAAACAGCAGTTTTGCAATTTCACTGCTCTAGTGGCTGTCTTCCCCATGCAAAAAGTCAAACAGGGTCCTCAATCAAATGTTGCTCCAGGACAGTATTTGATTGGTGCAGTGATTTACCACCCATTAAATCATCAATCTTACTGATCTCAATCAGGGTAGCAAGACAGCTAAACCTTGCTTTTTACTTCACTTTGGGACCAGATGCCAGATTCTGATGCTTGTCACTGGCCATTCCATGATGCTCTGGGCCCACCAAGGACCCAGGTAAGAAGAAAACTGCAGCAAAATGTCCCCAAACATCCACAACATTACATACCGCATGGGGAGGGTGGGAAGAGCATTAATTTTAGTTTTTAAAAAAGTTACTGTTCTCCTTTAAAGGTAAAGAGAGGGTACGTAGCCCTGCAGCCGTCTACTCATGACACAATCATATTCTAGCAGAGGATTAGCAATCATATTCTAGCAGAGGATTAGCAATCATATTCTAACAGAGGATTAGCAGCTGCAGGTGACTACCTGTGGTTCATCTTTACAGAACTCCTTTTCCAGGAGTGGGAAGCACCAGTTAAATTTTACCCATTGTGCATAGAGCAATTTAGTGGGTTGGTTCCATCTTGGCTGTGGGAACAAAAAGCAACCTTCCCGGCGTAAGAACTCCCGGGAGTAAAATAAAATAAAATGGAAGGGAGGGAAAAGGAAAAGACCACAAAACACAAACACCCCAGTGATTTCATGACATTTCACATTAAAATACAATGGAATGTGTGTGTTAGTCCACCCATTGTACAGCACCATGGAATTTGCTGGTGCTTTATAAATAATAAATGCATATTGTACTTGTAGAACTAGCAGGTATATAGCTACAGAGGAATCAATATACATCAGCATTCTAGGATAGGGGGCATACACATGAACAATAAAGTGATAAATGCAGGGTAGTCAAAATATGTAAAAAAGACTGTCTGAAACAGAGAAAATTATTTATTAAAAGGTTAAAATTCTTTAGTAGGAATGAAAGTCATTATATAGAGCATAGACCAATGAGGTCTACAGTTTGCACCCCAGACATTTCACTGCAAGGTTGACTTGGCAAAAATGGTGAATGTAGATCGGACACCTGGGATGCCCAATTCTCTGATATAGACAATCACAGGGACTGCCTGCCAATCATGGCCATACTATGCAGACAGCACCCTGAGCTCGGCATAAATGCGTATAAAGGTGTGCTCACTCCACACTTTCTAAGGACTTTCCCCTAGCACTCGTCCACTCCTCTTCTTACTAGCAGGCAGAAACTCCTGTTACACAGTCTGGGACAGAGAAAATGTGTATCTAGTGAGTGTAAAAGAAAGGGAACATGCCACGGAGTTAGAAAAACTGAAGCAGCAAGAGCATATGCATAGTGCGCAAAGTCAGCTTTACCTTATGTCAGCCAGTCCACACAAGCTTTGTTTCCCTACATCCACATGTGACGAGTAGTAAAATACAAAAAAATATATTATAAATACTTATTGATTAAAGGACCACTATAGGCACCCAGACCACTTCAGCTTAATGAAGTGGTCTGGGTGCCAGGTCCATCTAGGATTAACCCTTTCTGCTGTCAACATAGTTTCAGAAAAACTGCTATGTTTACTTTAGGGTTAATCCAGCCTCTAGTGGCTGTCTCACTGACAGCCGCTAGAGGTGGTTCCGCGCGTCTCACTGTGATTTTCACAGTGAGAAGATGCCAGCGTCCATAGGAAAGCATTGAGAATGCTTTCCTATGGACTGGCTGAATGTGCGCCCGGCTCATGCATTCAGCCGATGACAGGGAAAGGAGGAGGAGAGTCCCCAGCGCCGAGGGAGCCCGGTGCTGTAAAAAAAGGTAAGGGATTAACCCCTTCCTCACCCTAGGGCCCGGCAGGATGGGGCGCCCGAGGGTGAGGGGGACGCAAGGACCCTATAGAGCCAGGAAAACTGAGTATGTTTTCCTGGCACTATAGTGGTCCTTTAATTACTTTTTTTTTTTTTTTTTAGCAATGGGCCTATTCCATGGGCATGGGCCTGGAGCTGCAGCTCCATCAGGGCACCTCCAATGGCCACTGGAGGTGCTTCCTGGGGCAGTGTTGCTCAGTGTGCAGCACTTACGTTCAGCGTCTCCACGCTCTGCATGCATCAAGACACTGAACTTTCCTCATAGAGATGCACTGATTTAATGCATCTCTATGCTGAGATGTTGATTGGCCAAGCTGGTGTTTGGCCTCCTCCCCTGCCCCACCTCCTTAAAGATCTCAGCTAATTCAATGCTTTTCCTATAGGAAAGTATTGGATTGTTGAAAATCATGAATTCTGATGATGTCATCCAAGGATGGGGATCGGGTGCGAAATAAGGTAAGTTTTCTTACCTTTTAAGGGGGTAAGTCACCTAAATGGTGGTTTTAACACTATAGGGTCAGGAATACATGTTTGTGTTCCTTTAACATATTGCAATGTATGGTTTTTTTTTCCTTGCCAATCTGGAATAGTATTGTCCTTATTAAAACACCATCATTAGAGATTATTGCATAATTTAACTATGGGTTGTGACATCGATTTTCAGTAATTCTCTCTCTAGATCTACATACACAAACAAAACTTGCCTTGCTGTTCCAGCACAGCCTCCATGCAAATTAGTCTAAACCATCAAAATGCTGTACTAAAGGACACGTATACACATGACACTATAGAAGTGTTTGAGCACATATGAACTCATGCAGCATTTCAGTGCAGATCAGAGCATCATGGGACATTGACATCACCCTGAACTGCAGTGATGGCAATGTGTTTTTAACTTGCCTCCGCTGCAGCATTAACTCTAGCAAGTGCTTCAACAGTGTTTGCCTGGGTGAAGGGACAAGAAACTTCCACTCCTCATTCCTTCACCCTAGTAAATAGCATCTCAGCAAATACTGAGGAGAATTATGCAGTGAAGAAATTAAAGGGGTGGTGGTTACCTCCACTGCACTTCTGCTTTGAGGTATCACTGCCCTCATAGAGGAGCATTGGGGACAAAAAGCACATGCAATTCCAGTGCTATACTCTTCCAATGAAATGGATGTTAGCTGTGAGAACTAAGCTAGACTCTGGAAAACAGCCATTAAAAGCATATTTAAAAGGAACACTACAGTGTCAAGAATACCAATGTGTATTCCTAACAGCATAGTGTCTTAGTCACCATTTAGGTGACTTGGCCTTACCCATGAGAGTTAAAGGGACACCGTTGGCACTGTATATGCTTCATTTCATTAAAACTTGTTATAGTGTCTGGAGTCCCCTGGTACCATCATTTCTTTCAGCATTAAACAGTTTTTAATGTTTTAAAGGACCACTATAGTGCCAGGAAAACATACTCGTTTTCCTGGCACTATAGTGCCCTGAGGGTGCCCCCACCCTCAAGGACCCCCTCCCGCCCGGCTCTGGAAAAGGGGTTTCAACTTACCTTTTTCCAGCGCTGGGCGGAGAGCTCTCCTCCTTCTCTCCTCCTCCGTTCCGCCCCGTCGGCTGAAAGCGCACGCGCGGCAAGAGCAATTTACAATGTTTTCCTATGGACGCTGGCGTGCTCTCACTGTGAAAATCACAGTGAGAAGCACGCAAGCGCCTCTAGTGGCCGTCAATGAGACAGCCACTAGAGGCTTTGGGGGAAGGCTTAACCCATTAATAAACATAACAGTTTCTCTGAAACTGCTATGTTTATTAAAAAATGGGTTAGCCCTAGCTGGACCTGGCACCCAGACCACCTCATTAAGCTGAAGTGGTCTGGGTGCCTAGAGTGGTCCTTTAATGCTAAACAAGAGTCCCTGGCAGTCCATCCCCTCTTTGGCTAATAAGGAAGTATTAGCCTGAGCAGCAATGGGCAGCTGTGATTGGCTGAGAGTGTCAGCTGACTGCTTTTAGCCTGTCAGAGCTCCAACTGACGGTATGAATGTGTATGACAACAAGGAAGTGTAATCTCTGCCTTAGCTACACATAAATAAGGGGCGGGACTGTGGGTGGCCAGGGACTATTATTTTGTGGCATACGGCACAAACATTGTACAACATTGAATGGACGGGCAGTGCCAGGGCACTCCAGGCACTATAACCAATTCAAAGAGAAGAAATGGTTATAGTGACTACAGTGTCCCTTTAAGTTAACTCACCTTGCATCCCACGCTGCACTATCAGCAGCTGGTCCCACCTTCTTGGCTGAGAAACATCGAGATTGCGGGGTTCAGCCAATCCAATGTTTTCCCCCTAGAAAAGTACTGAAAGGCCAGTGCACATGTGCTGAAAGACAGAACTGCAACAACCAAACTGCATCTCTGAGGCCATCTAATAGAAATAATGGAGTTTTACTACACTATTTGTGTGGTTGTGACTTTCATATGGACAACTACTAGAGGCACAAGAGGCAGGTTAAGGTTAAGCCTGTTAAGACCAGCTAAGGGATATGACAACAAGCTTGACAAAAGGTAGCCCTGCCTTTTGTGAAATGGAGGAAAAAGAGACAAAGCAGTCCTAATTTGTCTCAGTATATTTTTTGACTGTGTTAGAATATATGTGGAACAGCAGCATAGTCAATATGAGTATTTCATAAAGATTCCATCTTTATGAAATACTCATTTTAGAGGAGGGGCTGACAAAACCGCTTTAACTCTGCAGTGTAAGCATTACTGTATCTATTAAATGGCAATGTTTTACAATACAGGTTTTAAACTAGAGGACCACCTTACTGAAAAAACACAAAAATAACCATAACGAATAGCAAACTTAAGTAGCCAATTGTTTGTGCTAAAATCAAAGAATAGATGTTAAAGCTTAATGAAAAAGAGAAACGGAAAAACAAGGTAATTAAGGTTATTTGTGATATGCAGAAAAAAGGTACATGTGTGAGTTATCAAATGCCATGGCAATGTATTTGTTTAGAGTCAGAGTAGAACCTAAAAGTCAAACAGAAGAATGTATTTATACATTTATATACTGTAATAAACATGCAGTGCTAATTCACATGAGTTTAAGAGGAATTAAATAGAATCACAAAAAGGTGACAGGAGTTAATCTTCTCATTCATTATACATTTACATATCGCATGCCAAAATAACCAGTGTGAAAAAAAAAAAAAAAAAAGACATTCCCAAGATTGGCTATTTTTTAGCCTTGTTATGGTTTTCCTAAATTTCATAGTTCTCATCAATTCTTCACATTTCATTTAAGTGAATAAACAACATTCATGTCTGCAGTGCATATCATCAATTTATGATATAAATGCAAAAAAAAAATTAATAATAATAATAGGGGCTGTAATTGCAAAGAGCAGACACACAGAAATACGTTCGACAACCTCAATCCACCCTAGGGGAATCCATATAACCTTTTGGGTGTGGTTAGGCATGACTGGAAATAATCTGACGGAAACCCTGACAACTATTGCACACACTTAACGCTGCAACTCCCTCCACTTTTTACAACAGGATACTGAACATGACATAATATTGGCCAACACAAACACTGGGTAGGAATGAGAGTCAATCTCCAGCTACTATTCCTAGATTTAACATGGTTAACATGGTATTTGCATATGCCCTCTAATCTATGGTCATCACCTTCAAAATACCCCTTGCAACCTATTTTAGATTGTAAGCTCACAAGCCATCTAAGTACTTTGTATAAAAGCGCAGGAATTGCTCAATTTACAATTGCGCCATGTTCTTTTGTTAATCTTTCCATTCTGTTCTCTTCACACCCAGAGTCTGTCAACATGGTTTTGCCTATCAATTACTTGTTATAATAGCCCCACTATATAAATTGTAAAGAGCCGAGTAATATGGTGGTTCTATAGAAATACTAATGATAATGGTATGTGTATCTCCTGTATTCCTCCAATTGTAAGCCGCTGCAGAATAAGTTGGAACAATTGCTAAAAATAATAATTATTAGCAACTATAATAATGAAATACAGGCAGACTAGGTATCTGTAGTTTTATACCAGATGGTAGGTAGGCTGTCTTTTGACCCCCCCTTAAATTAACCACTGGCTGTTGTAAATTACATTTCCTTTGATATCCAGGCAGAAATGCAGTAAAAACAAAAAATAGGAATGTTAAACTAAAACTGTTCTGGAGATCTATCTGAAAACAGCAAACCAGATAAAGCTAGAATCTCACTTCTTCTTTCCTGCACTACAGTGGGTCACACTGGACATGGGCTAGCCAAAAAAAGTTACACAACAGAACTACATTTCCCTTGATGCTCTGCTCCCTGTCTTGAGGAAGAGGCATCATGGGAGTTGTAGTTATAGAAGTAAAAAAGGGCAGTAAAGTTGCCTTCACACTCCTGTCACCATCACAGTGGATCAGACCAAAGCCAAGTCAGGCCAAAAAGTTATACCCACAACTGCTGTAAAAGTACTACTCCCATAATGCACTACTCTGGCTGGGAGAGCATCATGGGAGTTGTAGTTCGATAAAGTAAAAGGTGTCTAGCTATGGGTCAGGCTCTGCAGTAAGCTAATAGGCGGATACAGAGGGCTGGCAGTACCCCCCTATCCCCCGAACTAATTTTATATCAGAAGCGGACCCGCAGAGGGAGAGTGGGGGGAACCTCACCTGGTGGGGTGTCGTGCGTCACTGACAGTTGCCGCAATGCAAGGACGAGGCTCCGGAGACAGGCTCTGCCAAGATGGAGCTTGCAATATAGAATGCCCCTGGGGCTAGGAAAGGGGCGGGGCCGGGCTCGCCCATAACAAGACACCGCCCACTAGTGACGTCGCGTTCGTGCAGGCTCGTAGGGGCGTGGCTTACAGGAGGCTTGTTACTGAGCTGTTGGCAGGGTGTGGGCGGTATAGGTGCTGAGGGCAGGGAGGGTGGTAACCATGGAAACGTGTGGGGCGCGGAGCCCCAGGGGGAGGGATGTGGCTGCACCACAGGAAAGATAGGGAATAACAGCTCCTGATACATTTAAAGGGACACGTAAACACCTTAAAGCAGGCTCTCCCCACCCCCCAAACTCCGGCCCTCCAGATGTTGCTGGACTACAACTCCCATGATGCTCAGCCTGTCTGTTTCATTCATAGAATCATGGGAGTTGTAGTTCAGCAACATCTGGAGGGCCAGAGTTTGGGGAAGCCTGCCTTAAAGGGACACTCCAGCCTGGAGCTGATACCCATTCATGCGAAGAGTTTGTCCTCCGTGTCCTCTGCTTTTCAGATTACAATAGAAATTGGCTGTCAGTCATAAGATTTCTAAATATATTTTTACATTTATGACATTCACAACATAAACTAATAATATCACTAGAACAGAAAGGTACATTCACAATTTGAATTTCTCTTTTTTTTTTGGCGCGTTAAAACAAAAAAAAAAAAGGAGCACTTTCCCCTGTCACGGTAAATCCGCCACTCTAACAGTGATAGCAAATTGCTCTGTTTTTTGTTATTATTATGCACTATATAAAACACATCAAGTATATAACCAATAGTATACATGTAATAGAATACAAAAACAGTACAGCACAACAATCATCATAGTATATCAATAGAAAATCCAAAGGTAGACTACGAGACATGTAAATCCTATACACCCCAAATATAATCTCCTATACATACTATAAAGGCATCTATAAATTAAGTCCCTATAAAAATTTTTTTCAAAAAAAACATGAAAAAGAAAATAGTGCCCCAAATAATCTAATAATTTTTGCCGCAATTTATTTCTCTTGATTTTTGCACTTTTTTGTATCCTCAATGATGTTACTGCTGAATGCTTTCATAAAACAAAAAGGCAAAAGAGTAATAGTAGGAGAAAAAAATAAAAGGTCTGAAAAGGCAGTGTTTAAAAAAATTAAAGGGTCTGAAAAGGCAGTTAGCTGCATACTTACTCCAATTAGCCTCAGCCAACATCACCAGGAACCCAAGCAAGCCACACTCCTGGAAACAACAGGTTAGCTACCAGGAGGGTGGCTGCAAATATAAAAACGACATGTATGTCAGATTGTGTGTGTGTCAGTATGTGTATCAAGGTGTTTGTGTCACTGAGTGTATCTGTGTGTGTCCGTGTATGTGTGTATATCTCAGTATGTGCCAGTATGTGTATCTTTGTGTCAATGTGTGTGTATGTGTCACTGTGTGTATCTGAGTGTGTGTATATGTGCAAGTGTGTGTATCTGTGTGTGTGTATATATGTTTGTATGTGTGTATTGTTGTGTGTGTATGTGCCAGTGTGTATATCTGTGTGTCGGGGTGTGTGTATGTCTCACTGTGTGTATCTGAGTGTGTGTGTATGTGTCATTGTGTTTATATGTGTGTGTATGTGTGTTAATGTGTATGTATATCTGCGTATGTATGTATGTGGTACAGTGTATGTGCATACATGCCTGCAATCAAACACCAACACAACATGCAAAGACACCAATACAAACACAAACATGACATACAAAAACACCCCTGAATTAAATCTCCAAATTTATGTACAAACACTCATACTCATACCCTTCACTCAAACACTAATGCTACACACAAATGTACAGCCACATTTAAAAGCCAACACTACATCTAAACACACCCCTGCACGCAAATGCAAACATTACATACAAACACACCCCTGTATTAAAATGAAAAAATTATATATAAATGCCAATTCTACAAACAAAAGCACATCTGCTCCTAAGTACTACAATCTGTTTACTATCTGTAGAAATGAGTAAATGAGTATATATATATAAATACCATAAAACAGGTTTACGCTATGGCGCAAATTTTGGTGGGGGTTCCACAATGTTGGTATGTAAGAAAATAATTGTGAACCCTTGCCTTACACTATAGTTTCCTCTGCCCCCACTCCCACATGCCCCAGGCATTGACAGTGTTAAAAAAAAACCTTTCTGTACTCCATCGGTACTCTGCCTCCTTCTATGTCATCAAGGGGAATAATGTGCATTTGTGGCAACTGCCACAAGCGCATTAGGCTGTCCCTGTAGAAAAGCATTGCTGCAAAGTGGTTAAACTCAGTATGTGCAGCGTTTTTACAGCTAATCGCTGAACATACAGAATTCATGCACCAAGAACATTCCATATTACTAAAGTGGTCCTGGTGCTTGTTGTAATCCTTTAGTGAATAACTCACATTGCACAGAATTACTTTTAAAGGACACTTTGCTGCTTCGGTGCCTAGACTCATTGCCGTCTGTAACAACCTACCAGTTAGTTTGTTTTAGGGATGAACTCAATTGCAGCGGAACAGCAAACTCCTTACAGTCACGGCCCTTAGATGCACATGGAGTGCCATGAAGGACTGATGGGGCTCGGGGGCCTTTAATATAGAAGAAATAGAAGACAATATGGGAGTAGGCTAGCATCACAATCAGACAAAGCCAAAGGTCAAAAGCCAGGAAGTCATAATACTGAAGGAAGGGCAGGAACCAGGGAGGGCAAAGCACAAATCCCCATAAGAGCTGGCTCAAAAATGTTGTGTGTGGACAGGCAAATCTTCTCTCCAGACACATAGAAAGGTGCCATTTGGTGTCGAGCAGTTGGTCCTTTGTAATCTTGTTGCACAGCCACCATGATTTGACGCAGTAGATGTCTTGTCTGAGCTTATTCAACTGTTGAGCTACATCAGATACAGTGGTAGGACAGGGTAAGTCAGGAAGGCCATTGGGGTGATAACCATAATTAGCAACAAATGGATAGCACTTATTTGATTGGTGTATATTATTGTTCTACAAACATTCTGCATTGGAAAGCAGTGGCAAACAATTATCTTGTAAATAGGTGGTAAAACAATAGAGGTATTGTTCTAAGGTCTAATTAGTGCCTTCCATTTGACTGTTAGTCTAGGGGTGGTATGTCAAAGATGGATAACTTTGGATTCTAAGATGTCGACAGAAATGAGACCAGAAACAAGATGTGAAGGGAGAGTCTCAGTCGATGATGATGGATCGTGGAGTGCTGTGTAGATGGTAGACTTCATGTAAGAACAAGAAAGTTTTCTTGGCTGCCGTAGGAAGACCATTGGTGGGTACAAAGTGAGCCATCTTCACGAACTTATCCATGATGACCAGAATGGTATCTTGTTTATGCGATTGTGGTAGTTCCAGGATGAAATCTATAGCAATACCTGACCAAGAAACCGTTGACACAGATGAAGGCTGGAGGAGACTAACCGGTTTAGTTCTTGGAGTCTTGTTTTGAGCACAGACCTCACATTTGAGAGTGTGCCACCAAAAGTAGTGATGGATCCCTTCTAATGTCTGTGTAATCCCATCATGGCCTGCCAGAAGGGTATTGTGGAACAGGCTAAGGATTTCTGGCTGCTAGCATGGACGGACATAAACTTGAGAATCATGGTACCATATTTAATGTTTGGCAAGCAGAGAATAAAAAAGTGGTGGAATATCTACACCTTTGCTATGATCTAAGAGAGACAAACTCACAGCAAGGAATTGATGTGTAGGTAAGAAGGTATTCTGAAGGTCAGTTCCTTGGTTTGGTTCCTCATACATCGTGAACAGGGCATCAGCTTTTTGATTCTTCTTGCCTCTTTGTGATAAAATGCCACTGAAAGTGATATTGGAGGCATCCACCTCAAAGAAGAACGCCTTAACAGTGTCAAGTTGTATTAGAATAGGAGCCTGATTAAAGAAGATTTTAACTAAGCAAAGGTTTTGTGAGCCAAATTTGTCCATCAGGATCAGTGACGTCGCTAGGAGAGGGCTAGAGGGGGCCATGGCCCCCCCTACATCATGCTGTGCCCCCCCAAATGCCGGCAACTTGCTGGCCATGCGTTTAAATTATATTCCCTCAGACTGTAATAGTGTGTGACAGCCGGGGAGGGAATGCAAGACTGAGGAGCTGGGTGCTGTCTGTGGCTGGAGGGAGCACTGACAGGCTCCCTGGCACAGGCCCTGCCCCCAAACGAAGCCCCGCCTCCCGCACATAAGCCCCGCCCCGCCGTTAAGCAGCCGAGCATGCTGCTGCTAGAAAGGATGGAAGATGGCTGTCTGACCCCCAGCAACAGCCTCCAGTGACAGGTAGGCTTAATATATTTGTGTGTGTCTGTCGGTCTGTCTGCTAGTGAGGAAGCTTGTTTGTATGGACTCAGCAGTCTGTGTGTGTGTGTGTATGAACTCAGCAGTCTGTGTCTGTGTGTGTGTGTGTGTGTGTGTGTATAGACTCAGCAGTCTGTATTTGTGTATGGACTCAGCAGTCTGTGTTAGTGTGTCTGCGTGTGTGTATGGACTCAGCAGTTGGTGTGTGTGTGTGTGTATGGACTCAGCAGTCTGTCTGTGTGTCTGTGTGTGTATATGGACTCAGCAGTCTGTGTGTGTGTATTTGGACTCAGCAGTCTGTGTTTGTGTCTGTGTGTGTGTATAGACTCAGCAGTCTGTATGTCTGTGTGTGTGTATGGACTCAGCAGTGTGTGTGTATGGACTCAGCAGTCTGTGTGTAAGTATATAAATCAACCTGTGTGCATTCAGAAATCTGTGTGTGTATTCAGCAGTCTCTCGGTGTTCGTATTCAGTGTACTGTGTGTATGTACTCTGCAGTCTATCAATAATTAAAATGTGTGCTGTAGGAAGTTGTGCTGTAGGAAGGGCCCCAGTGCACTGCTTTGCCCGGGGCCCTTAACACTGTTAAGATGGTACTGCTTGTGTGTGTCAGTGAGCTTCTATTTAGTGAGCATGTGTGTGTCAGTGAGCTTGTCTTTAGTGAGCTTGTGTATGTCCCTGAACTTCTTTGTAGTGAGCCTTGTATTTATACAAGTGAGTTTGTCTGTAGTAAGCTTGTGTGTGAGTCAGAGTTTTTTGTCTGTCAGTGAGCCTATTTGCGCATGTCAGTGAGCTTGTGTTCTCACTGTAGCAATGGAATACATTTTTTTCCAGGGCTGCTTTGGATTCCCAGTTTGGCTTTGCCAGCGAGTGCGCTTTACCGCCGAATCATCTGTGTGAGCTGCCGCACACTTTAGCCCTGTCCCAGACGCATGAGCTGCTGTTGACAGGTACTAGTAGTCTAGAGATTGGGACATGGGGTATATGCTCAGCTATCTGTATAATACTATAGTGCTGTTCTCTTTATAATACAGATCTCTGTGTGTATAATATCCCGGGATAGTCAGTGCTTCCTGTATAGTGCTGCTCTTTGTATAATACAAGTCTGTGTCTATATAATATCCTGGAACAGTCAGTGTTCCATGTATAGTGCTGCTCTCTGTCTTAAGATATTATACAGACACAGACCTGTATTATACAGAGAGCAGCACTATACAGGGAGCACTGACTCTCCCAGGATATTATACACACAACCCTGTATTATACAAAGAGCACTGACTGTCCAGGGATATTATACACAGACAGTAAACAAAATGTGCTTGGAATTTATTTTCTAATGTTGGCAACTATGGCACTGTATCAAGAGAAATGTATTTGTTTTTTTAATAATCCCTGGTGGAAAATAATGAATCCTCCACCAGGGTTTATTAAAAAAAAACAAATACATTTCTCTTGATACAGTGCCATAGTTGCCAACATTAGAAAATAAATTCCAAGCACATTTTGTTTACTGTCTGTGTATAATATCCCTGGACAGTCAGTGCTCTTTGTATAATACAGGGTTGTGTGTATAATATCCTGGGAGAGTCAGTGCTCCCTGTATAGTGCTGCTCTCTGTATAATACAGGTCTGTGTCTGTATAATATCTTAAGACAGAGAGCAGCACTATACATGGAACACTGTCAGGGGCGGAGCTTAACATGCGGCAGGGGCGGGGTCAAACTGCGGCAAGGGTGGGGTTAAATGTGCCCCCCTACTTTCATCCTTGGCCCACCATGTGCCGCCCTAAAAATGAATCCTAGAGACGCCACTGATCAGGATGTGACCAGGGGTTATGATGTAGCCTACAAATTCCATGCATGTCACTTAAAAAATGCATTTTTACAATTTTGCATATATACCATGCTTGCAGAGACATAGGAGTACTATTTTACATGGTCAAAGTGTTCATTTGGGGATGAAAAGAAGATCAGGATATCATCTAGGTAGATAACAAGTAACGTGTCCAAGATGTCCTTGAAGTCATTATTTAAAAATTGCTGAAAAGTGGCTGGGGTATGAGGTAATCAAAATACCCTTATCTGGTTCTGAAAGCCATCTTTCACTTGTCTCCCTTGCAGATGCAGACTAGGTAGTAAGCTCCTCATAGGTCGATCTTTGTAAACATGCTTGCTTGTCTAAACCTCTCTAGGAGCTTAGGGATCAATGGAGAGTTTCATTTCTTGATAGTAATATTATTTAAGGCCCAATAATCCACACAAGGTGGAGGCCACCATCTTTCTTCCCAATGAAGAAAATACCTGCCCCTGTTGGAGATGTTGAGGGCCTGATATGTTCCCTTGGCAGGTTGTCAGAAATGTATTTCATGAGGTGTCTCAGTTCTGCATCCACAAAGGGAATATACTCCTATTAGTACCTACAGTAGTAAGTCATTCGGGCAGTCATACGACGTCTCGGGTGTAATTGATCTGCACTATTTTCATTGAATACATCTTGAAAGTCTTCATATCTCTCAGAAATAGAAATTGGTGAGGCAGTGGATATGGAGAAAAGGTATGTAGGACCTGAAGTGATGCAAGTGGAGGTACCGAAATCGGAGGAAAAAGTAAGTAAGTAATGGCTGGATGTTTTTGAATGTATACTTTCTTTATCAATCCCTATTAAGATTTGGTTGCATGTCCTTGGACCCATTAATTTTATGCTAAGTAATTGCAGTTTCTTGTACGTAATTAGCACTTTATTATGTTTTCTTCACATTTATGAGATATGTTTTTGTCTGTTATTTTGGCACTGCCACTTTTAATAGCTAATTATTACAATTTACTATTAGGTTCACTTTATACATTGATATTTGTCACTTAAAGTGACTTAAAGTGACGGCTAGTTGCAATAATCTCTGCTTCACATTTAAAAGATATAATTAGCACTTTAATACTTATTTAATTTTAAATAGATTTTTTACTATTTATGTTTTGTCATTCACATCTGACACACGTATATTATCTAGTACACTATTTTTTTATATATATCACAGTTAAAATTATTGATTTTTTTTTTTTTTTTGCAGTGCGGGTAGTTACAAGCAAGTTTGTGTTGCCACAACAGCATCAACAGACATATATAAACATAGATAGTAGTATATAGTTGTGGCAAGGAGATACTTTTCACTATTTTTTGTTAAAGTAAAGTAAAACAAAATGGATTAGCTTTTGGTAACATTAATGATGCAATTGCATAAGTGTGGGGTTAGTAACATTCAGGCTGATCATGCATGTCTAAACGTTAGACTGTGTATAATTTGTCGGAGGAGAGATTATCAAGATATGCAGATATGCTAGTATTCAGGCTGTAATAGCTTATTAGTTAGACTCGTGTCTCATGCTAACTGTTAAAAAGAACAGTCGCCAGTGAGTGTGTGTCGGCTCGCGAGTGTGTAGGTCAGTGAGTGTGTGTATGTGTTGGTCAGTGAGTGTGTGTCGGCCGTGCGAGTGTGTGTCAGTCAGTGAGTGTGTCAGTCAGTGTGTATGTGTCGTCAGTGGAGTCGCATCTTCAGTGAGTGCTTGCGTCTGTCAGTGAGAGTGTGCATCTGTCAGTGTGTGTCCAAGTAATAGTGTATGTGTGTATGTCAGTGTATATGAGAGTGTGTGTCTGTCAGTGAGTGTGCGTCTGTCAGTGAGTGAGCGTCTGTCAGTCAAAGTGCGGCCTTGACAGGAAGGGGTGGGGGAAAATTAAACTCGGTTACAGGCATGTACACACACACTCAGTTAAAGGCAGTCACACATACAGGCACAGGCACAAACAATGGCACAGCTACAGCGACACACACAGACAGACAGTCACATAGGCAGTCACACACACACACAGACACACAGTAACACACACATAGACAGTTATACACACACAGGCAGGCAGGCAGTCACACAGATAGAAAGTCACACACACAGGCAGGCAGTCACACACAGACAGTTACAGACAGACACACACAGGCAGGCAGGCAGTCACATACAGGCAGTCACACACACAGGCAGTCACACACACAGGCAGTCACACACACAGACAGACAGTCACACAGACAGTCACACAGACAGACAGTCTCACACACACAGGCAGTCACACAGACAGACAGTCACACAGACAGACAGTCACACACACAGGCAGTCACATACATGGGCAGTCACACAGACAGACAGTCACACACACAGACAGTCACACACAGGCAGGCAGTCACACACAGAGACAGTCACACACACACACAGAGACAGACAGTCACACACACACACACACACAAGGACAGGCAGTCACACAGACAGTCACACACACACAGGCAGGCAGTCACACAGACAGTCACACACAAACAGGCAAACAGTCACACAAACAGGCAAACAGTCACACAAACAGGCAAACAGTCACACACACACACTTACCTCTTTCCAGTGGATGCAGTTGGCTGATGGGGAAGCATCTTTCCCTCTTCCTGTACAGCAGGGGCTTCGGGAGGTATTAGCCCCGTCTCCGCCTCTCGATAAGCCCCGCCTCCGCCGCTCGGTAAACCCCGCCCCCTCTGCCGCGATTTTTATTTTTATTTTTTTTTTTAAATAGACCTGGGTGGAGAACAATTAATCCTCCAGCCAGGTACC